GGAGAAGCTGAGAATAGACTCCCACATGTATAGACACACTTGCCGTGAGACAGCTTGGCTCACTGGGGAAAAGGCAGGCAGCGCTCCTCAATAAATGGTTCTGGAAAAATTGGTCATGGACACGATAAAATTAAATCTTGACTCTCACAAAAACTGAAGAACTCCTATCTTACCATGCCTTAAAGTCCATCCCAAGTGTGTAAAGACCTGAATATTATGGAAAACGAAACTTTAAAAGCCATAGAAGAAAATGTAGTAACACATCTTTATAAACTTGGAAGTAGGGAAGGACTTCGTAAGCAAGACTCAGTCCAGAAGCACAGGTCATTAGGGGAGAAATTTAAATTAGATGACGTTCAAATGAAAATTCTGTGTACTAAAAGTCACAGTTGATTAAAAGACATCCCAAAGACTGGAAAAAAAGATTTGTAACACATATGACAAATTTGAGTTTGGAAATCAGAATATAAAAAGGACTCCAAAGAAGTATCAGAGAGGAGAGAAGCGAACAAAAGAGACAATTTATGGAACAGGAAACACCAACATGCAGTAGATACTTGCAAAACTGCTTGACATCACCAGAAAGAAGTTAATGTAAATGAAAACCACGAGATGCCAATTCACTCACGTATAAAGCCTTATGAGGCCAAGCGTGGGCGAGGGTATGGACCGCGAGGACCCCTGAAGAATGACTTCTCAGTCTATATTCAGGTGCAAGATGTGCGTGTCCTGCAGCTCTGCTGTCCCACTTCTAGAAAAACCTCACCCGTCCGCTCCAGGAGTCCACAAATATTTGCAACAGAACTGTTTGTAAAGCAAACATCGCCAGCCTCATGCATATCCATCAACAGGAGATTGGAGAAATGCATTTTGGTATATTCATATCATGTAATATTACACACAAGCAAAAATAACTGAACTGGAGCTGTCAGTTAAACATTTACCAGCACACTCCTTGGTGGAGCCTGTGCTTCTGAACCCTGAGGCCCGTGGTGGGAAGGAGGGGGCTGACTGATCTGAGTGGCCTCTGGATGAGAAGACCTCTGTGGGCACAGTCTAGGGAGGCGGATTGGGCTGAAAATGAGGAAGGGTGTTCCAACAGGCCCAGCTGCCCAAGGATGGAAGAGACTGTCTTCTAAGGGAATGAGTTCCCCATCATTGGAGATATGTGAGCAAGGGCTGGGCAGCTGCTTTGTGGGCAGTGAACCAAGTGTTGGATACCAATGGTACAAAGGCAGGGTTGGATAACGATGGCCTTTACGATCCTTCCACGCATGCCCAGAGGCCCCGTGCTTCTGTGATTCAGTGAGCTGGCAAAGTGTGATTAAAGGAAGATAGGACTGGATGAATAACCAAACTGTGACACATCCCTGGACGGAACGCTGCTCACTAATGAAAGGGGATGGACCACGGCGCACGCAACAGCACAGAGGGGCCTCAGAAACATGCCGAGTGCAAGAGGCTGCATGTGTGTGATTCCATTTATGTGAAATTTCAGAAGATGCAAAGTCATCTGTCATGACGGAAAGCAGACCAGAGCTGCTGTGTGAGGGGGTGGGGGTGGGGGTGGGGTGGGTGGGCTGAGCAGGGGTGTGAGGAAACTTTCCACGGCAGTAGGAGTGTTCTGGGATGTTCTGCATCTTGACGGTGATGGAGGTTTCATGGGTGTGTATTTCTGTGCAAACAAATGGAACTGTACACTTTAAATGGATTCATTTATTGTCTATAAACTATATCATAATACAGATATTTTTTAAGAAGAGGAAAAAGAAACAGTGAAGAGGACTGGACAGGAGTCCAGGGCTGTTGCATCTTGGCTTTGGTCTCAGAGACATGGGCCTCAGTTTCCCCATCTGTGAAATGAGGGTATTGAATAAGGAGACCTATATTTACTTCCAGTGTGGTGGCTACAGGTGTGTCATCTGGACAAGTCCATGAGCCTCTCTGGGCCTCGGTTTCCTCATCTGTAAAATGGGGGAATAATAGAGCCACGGTGCATGGCTCGGCCCCAGTTCAAGATGCTGACAAACTTCAGGGCTGGCGCTTGAAAGAAGCTTTTCAAGAAGATAAGGTGTGTTTGAACATGTGATGACTGGCTTATACGGAATAAAGGTTTTGGCTTTCTTTGTCCCTTTCATGGCGGTAGCAGGGGTGAACTTTTGGAAAGGTGCCAAGTATCTGTAACAGCATATATCTGCCCCATAAAAAATGTCTGTAGAATTCAATTCTATCATTTAAAATCATTTTTCTTCCAACCAGCCCCAGCCTGAAGCTTGACACAGTAACTGGGTTGATGTAGTTACAACTACCGTAAGTCAACTTTGTCAACCACTTTAATTTTAAGTCCCATTTCTTTTGACTGTTTTAAAGATTACATGTTCCAAGGAATCCTCTTAAAATCTTTATGTGCTTACAGTTTTTTCTATAATAGATCATTCTAATGATTAAATTTGGTCCCTTTGACAGATCTATGGGTTCCTAAAGATCAGGGAGGAGTTTGTTTGCAAAGGGCTTGGGGGACTTTTGAAGAACTGTTCTGTACTTTGATTATGGTGGTGATTGCGTGTGTCAAATTTTGGGGTGAATTTTACTGAATGTAAGTTCTACTTCAACGAACGACTTTTTAAAACTTAAAAAAAAGAAAACAGAGCCACCACTGACCAGGGCTGAGAGCAGCGGTCGCTGTGCTAGAAGCACCCTGAGATTGCTACTATCCTTCCAGCCCTGCAGCCACCAGCTGCTGTCATCCAGCCTCCCTCCCCATCTTGTTCCCCTCCTGGCCCTGGCCTCTCCTCACAGCCTGAGGGCCACCTGCAGACCCCAAGATGTCCTGTGAGCCCACAGGCCCCTATCTAGCTCTCCTTACAGGTCACGAGTTCTTCAGGGGCAGCTTCTGGTCTTCCTTGTTTTGTAACCACTGCAGTGCCAAGCTCAGAGCTAGATATTCAAGTGGTGCATAATCAGTGCATGCAGAATGAAGGAAGGAGTCTGGTGGCTGTAAGTCAGCGAGAATTTTTCTTGGGCTCTCCTGGATAGTGGCCTTCTCAAGATGGAGGGCAGGTGCATTTCTAAGGCTGTCGTGGCTGTGTACGGTTGGGTAGGTTGTTTACTGCACAAGGAATCTCCACCCCAGGCGGCTAATGGGGAATAAAATCCAGTACATATATCCCTTAGCAAGTCATGTGACCATATTCATTGACTGTATCTTCCCAAAGAGGTGCATTATTCTTTTTTCTTTTCCTTTTTTTTTAATGAACACCTTATTTTGGAATAGTTTCAGATTTACAGAAAAATTTCAAGGACAATAAGAGAGCTCATGATATCCTTCACCCAGTTTCCCCTATATTCACAGCATTTACATAACCAGAGTGCATTTATCAAAACGAAGACATTAACCTTGGTACAATACCGTTCTCTAATTTTAGATTTGTCTTGGACTTCACTACTTTTCTCACTGACTCCTGTTCCAGGATCCAATCCTGGATCCCACATTGCACTTAGTATATTGTTTTTGTTAGATTAACACAGAGGTTGCCCTTACGGGATCACAGTGGTTGGAAAAAAGAATGTGGATGCGGGGGGAGGGGGGAACAGAACAAGACCTTAGGTGGCCTGTGAGGCACCCAGGTGGGTCACCAAGGGGACACTTGGCCTCCTGACCCTGGCCAGGCGTTGTGAAGTGCTCCCCACTATTTCTGCTCAGCCCATGCAAAGCTCAGAACAAACACATCAAAATTATTGTCAGATCTTAATCACTGGCTAGCCAAATGTTGGAGCAGGTCCTTGGGGAGGCAGCATTTCCCTTTCTGCAAACCCTGCAGCTTGTGTGGAAGCTCTGGGAAGGCTGGGCTCGGGTGCTCCCACCATGGGGAGTGGGAGGGGCACTGGCCGCCCAGCACACCCAGCACTCCACACTCTCCTGCCAGTGTCCCAGTTTGTCCTGAGGGAGTCTGGGGTGGGTGACCAGCGGCTCTGCCCATCCCCTCCTCACCCCTCATCCTTGGAACCGGAAGGGTGCTGGGCATGGGGGAGCCATGGCAGCGAAGAGTAAAAGCTGGGTGAACTTGGAGCCCCCTGCGGAGACACAGTGCCCGCTCAGATCCGGAGTCTCCCTGTGGCTGAGGAGGGGCACTCGCCCTCCCCACCTGACTGCAGAACTCAGGCTTTGTCCCCCAGATGGCAGCTGGGGTGACAGAAGAGTTGGGAGTCACTTGGCCCCGGAGTTGATTTCAGCCTGGGCAAGTCTAGTGAATCAACTGACTTCTCAGATCCCGTTTTAGCATCGTTAAAATGGACATGGTTCCTGAGCAAGTGTGCCTGGTCCCCAGGGCTGCCTCCAGTGGAGGGCCGGGCTGGCATGGGGCACTGCCTGCCACTTCCCTTCTATTTCCCCTTCTCCATCAGTGCACACAACCCCCCACTCAGTCCCTTCCTGCCTCATCACCCTCCCCCTGTGTCTCTCCCATCCTTCCACACTCAGGGGACCCCCACTGACCCCTCTGACTTGCTCAGAATCCCTTCTGGAGTGCCCTCTCTCTGACCCCAGCTTTCAAGTGCTGGCTTAAATGCCACCTCGCAGGCCCCAGCTCACCCTCTGTGTAACTCTGAGGTCCCCTCCCTGTCAGTCCTCCGTGGTCCCCCATCACTTCCTGCCTTGTTTTGTGGACACCTGTGATGAGCTTGTATCCTCCCAAGGGACCGGCTATAATTCCTGCATCCTGGACTCATCGGCACCTGATACCGTACCTGGCACACAGTAGGTGCTCATTAAATGCTTATTGCTTAGAACTAAATTCTTGGAAGCCTCAAGTTCTTGGAGAACAACTCTGGCCTCATCCATGGAAGTGAGTCTCCCGCTGGTGCTCCAGAGCCAGGATGCCTGTGGGGGTGGCCCAGCCCAGCCCAGCACCTGAGGGCCACCCCACCCTTGAGCTGTTCTGCCAGACCACATGCTCCGCCTTCTGCAAACGGCCGTGGGGGCAGCAGCTTGGGTAAGTTCCCCTTCCGCTTCCTCCTGCCTTCTGTCTCGCTGCTGCTGCTCCTCGGTCAGGGCGCCTGTCCAGGCTCTCATCACCCCCGGTGCCTGCAGAAACGCTCCGTGCCCCGAACTGTCACCACCACCGCCCCCCAGGCCTCGGACACGATGCAGGCCATCAAGTGTGTGGTGGTGGGAGATGGGTAGGTACCTGGCTGGACTTGCACACAGCTCCCTCCTGGGGTAACCCTGAGACCCCCGCCCCGGGCAACTCTGGGGAAGCCCCCTGCCCTGCAGATATAGGAGTCCCTGGGAGGCAGCTGGAGGAAGGGCTCCCTTTTTCTCTCAGGGCCCAGAGAGAACCCCGTGAGCTGAGAACAGCTCCACTGTTGCTGCCTATCTCACCCCAGAACCTGCCTAGGTGGAGGGTACAAGGACTGTGGTTGGGGGTGCCTGGGGCCCCTCTCTCCTGGATCCTCAAGTCTTCTACTCTGTGGATGCTAGTGAGGGTGGGTCCCCAGGCTGACCTGGGCTTTAGTTATTGGCTTTAGTTACTGACTTGCACTGCTGTGTGGCCTTAGGCAAGTCACACTGCCTCTCTGAACCTCAGCTTGGCAGTCTGGGAAGAGGTCCATGCTCTCAGGGTTGATGTGGTGTCACTTGAGATGCTCGGAGCGGTTGTCCTGCATGCACACACATACTCAATAAAGGTGGCCTCCTAACATCAGCCTGCCTGGCTGGGGAGGATGTGTGGGGGATGAGGAGCAGAAGGGGGAGGGGCACGGGACACAGAGCTAAGAAGGGGGGAGGGGGCGGGAGGGTGACTGTGGGGGTCAGTGCGGGCCAGGCTGGGCTGAGGGGCCTACTCAGCTGTCAGATCTCAGGGACAACCTCAGGTTGTCGTGTCCCGCTACAGACCTCAGTTTCCTCATCTGTAAAATGACAGGTTCAATATGCTAATCTCTCCAGCCTCTCCAGCCTGGCCAGCAACGCTGTCTTAGGGTCCAGCCCCCAGGTACCTCCTGGGGTTTCCTGTAGGTGCAGCCCTGGCACCCCAGCGTGTTCCAGCTGGACAGGCCTCTTATCCAGCCCTATCATCCTACAGAGGGGCAGCCTGAGGCCTTGAGACTCGATTTTCCTGTCCTGGGGCGGGCTGGTTTATCAGGCAGGCCTCAGCTGATTCTGATGCATGGCTGCCCGTTATCTGCCCGCCTGCCCAGCCCCGCTCACTTCTGCTTTGTATCTGATCTGAAGAGGGGAGGGCGGAAGCCAAGGGCAACGTTCCAGTTGTTCAAAGTTACCTTGGTGGCAGGCCCTGGGGAGGGGTGAGGAGGAGAGGGGGCCAGCCCCCTCTGAGCAGGAAGTGACGAAACCTGGTGGAGCAGGGGAAGGCCCAGAGCTACCTGCACCCCCTCCCAGCCCAGCAGGCTGAGGGTGAAGACAGCGCAGATAATGGCGGCCATCCCTAATTTAGTACTATGTGTCAGACCCTGGGCTGAGTCACATTTTCTCTTCCCACCAAGCCTAATATTAGGCCCATTTTACAGGTGGGAAAACTGAGGCTCAAAGAAGTTAAGTCATTTGCCAAGACTTCACGGGATTTGAACCCTGGTCTCTCTGATTCCTGAGGCATAGGGAGGTTAAGTGACTTGCCTAAGGTTGTACCACTACTGGGTAGGTGGTGAAACAGGGATCTGAATCCCAGGGGAATGATGGCAGCACCCTGGTCAGGCACCAGGGGCCTGCGGCCTTGTCCATTGCAGCTGGCCTCCTGGCACCCCATGCTCTTAACCCTTTGGCCCACATCCATGTCACCTGGGGACAGCCTATTAAAAATACAGATTCCCAGCTCCACCCCACACCCATGATCCAGAGTCTCAGGGGTAGGACCCCGAAGTCTGCCCTTTAGTGAACACCCCAGAGAAGTCTTCTGACTCCCAGGTGTGAGAAGAAGGATACAGGGAGTCTCAGATGGGGACACTGAGGCCCAGAGGGGAGGGCTTGGGTCTTCCCTGAGGACCAGGCTAGGGAACCCGGCAGGTGCCCAGAAATGTCGTGGTGTCTCAGGCAGGGCCTGTGACGACTGGCCTCTCGAATTTCCTGTCTTTCAGAGCCGTGGGCAAGACGTGCCTGCTCATCAGCTACACCACCAACGCCTTCCCGGGAGAGTACATCCCCACTGTGTGAGTTCTGAGGGCGGGCTGGCTGCTCAGAGGATGGGGGGTGGGGGGGACATGCATCACCAAGCCCACCCTTTTCAGGCACTTCCTGTGTGCCAGGCGTGCGTGCGTGGGCACTTGGGGTCGTGCCACAACCAGTCTGTGCCCGGCACAGCTGCCTGCTGATCCAGTAACCAAAGCCAGATGATCGCCGAGGGCTCCCAGGGGAGCGGAGCGCTGGCCTGAGGCAGCGCAGGGTGGAAGAGGGGCTGGGTCGGAGGAGTGGCAGGATAGGGGTGGGGTGGGTGGAGGAGGAGGTAATTGAGGGCCTTGACACAGAGAGCCGAAGTGGGGCACACGCGTGTCCCGGGGGAAAGGGCAGTGCCTCCTGGAGGCCAATCGGAGGCCTGCCCTCGTGTTGGGTGTGGAGGCAGGGCTGTCACCTGACGGGTCTGTTCGTAGGAGGACGTGGGTGTCAGACTCAGGGAAGGGTAAACCGCAAGCACCAGTCCCTCCCTCACCAATGCTCAGCGGGCCCCCATCCCTCTCAGGACAGCCCCCCAGCTCCGTAGCTCGGCGTTCAAGGCTCTATGGGACCTTCTCTGGCTTCAGGGCTCAGCACTTCACTTCCTGTTCTGTCTGCTTCCCGCCTCCTGGTCACCAAACACTCCCTGGGCATTTCTACCTCAGGGCCTTTGCTCCAGCTGTTCCCTCTGCCTGGAGGGCCTTTCCTTCCCACGTCCACATGTCTAAGAGCTCACATGCCCCCTCCTCCAGGAAGCCTTTCTGATCCAGCTGGAGGGAGTCTCTTATTCCCCAGAGTGACTTTGTCTGATCTTTCCCAAGACCATGAGCTGCTGGAAGGCAGGGGCCGTGCTTGGTTCTTTTCAGGTCTTCCCACTGTCTTAGGAGAGTGTCTTATGCACAGTGTAATCTACACTTTGTCTTATACACGATACACGTGTTTTGAGTTAACCTGAATTGAACTTCATGGAGAGGCCCTAGAAGGATGTATCACAGCTACCATCATTGAGTACCTACTGTGTGCTGGGACCTGGATGAAATGTCACACACAGGTCACCTCGTTTGACCTCACGGGAGATGGGTGTTTTTATACCCAGGGTGCCCGTGGGGTAAGCTGAGGTTCACAGCAGCTCGGGGGCCTGTCCCCTAGGTGGGCTGGGCTCCCTCTACTTACAAATCTCCCCGGGACACTGATCCAGGCTTCGGTTGCCTCAGGGACCCCAGCCCGAGGAAGGAGAACGGCAGACAGCCAGGAAGGGGGCAGAGAAACCTGAGTAGGAAGCCTGGGAAAACTGATTCCTGCCCCAGTTCAGTTCCCAGCTTCCCAAGTGGCCTGGCACCAGGGCCCCTCCCCACGCCTGCCCTTATCTGCACACTCACCGTCAGCCATCAAACATTTCTCAGCACCTTCCAGTGCCGAGGGAAGGGAGGCCGGTCCTGCAGAAGGTCATCGTCACCAGGCCTGTGCTGGCACTGCCCGTGCTCCTGTCTCTGCCTGTCACAGCAGGGCTGGAGACCCCCCTGACTCAAAAACCTTAGACCAATGGCTTCCCTTCTCTGAGCCTCAGTTTCCCTTTCTTTAAGAGGCGGTGTTGGGCTGAGAGACGCTGCGCTCATTGCCTGGGCGCCTTCTCTGTGCAGGGAGAGGGGAGGCGAGTTCTCTGGGTGCAAGATGGCAGGACTAGAGGGGCCGGGGTAGGGCCAGTCGCTCTCAGCAACCTGGAGAGGCTGGCCCCTGGTGGCCCCAAGTGGATTTGGTTGTCCTGGGCAACACTGCAGACGGACAGACAGGACTCTAAGGAGTTGAGCCGGGGAGAGGGCCAGCTTCTGGGTGGGCAGAGCACCCCGCAGTCTGAAGGGTCCTGCACTTGGTTTAATGCTCTAATGTCCCCATCCTGAAATTCTCTCTTGTTGGTGTTGTTTTTTATTTGTTTGCTTTTTTTTACTGAAGTATAGTTGATGTACAATGTTGTGTTTCTGGTGTACAGCATAGTGATTCAGCTATACATATATATATATTCTTTCTCATTATTAATTATTACAAGATATTGAATATAGTTCTCTGTGCTATCCAGTAGGACCTCATTGTTTATCTACTTTGTACATACTGAAATTCTTTTTTTAGTAAGTTTTTTTTAATTAAGTTATAGTCAGTTTACCATATACTGAAATTCTTAATGTTTGAACACGGGGCCCTGCATTTTTGTTTTGCATCGGGCCCTGCCCAGTATGCGGCCAGTCCTGCACCCCACCCTCTTTGCCTTCCCTACAGAGTTGCTCAGTTCTGTACCAGCTGCTGCAGAGCCTGCACCCCTGTGACAGGGAGGGGAAATAAGTCGCACTGAGCCCTCGGCACTGGAGGGTGGGGGCAGCCGGGCAGACTAGAGTTGGGGAAAGCAGGCAGCTCGTGATCTCTGGCACAGAGATAAAGGTCCAGAGAGCGCTGGAGCCGGGGATGGGACGGTTTGGTGGGGCCAGGAGAAGCGGGCTGGATCAGATAAGAGGGAGAGCTGGACTCAGCTTGCTGCTGGGGGTTGGGGGATAACAGCTCAGGGTCACACCCCCGTCTCACAGGCGAGGAGACCGAAGCCTGCTCTCTGGATGGTCCTGTGCTGGGTGTTGGGGATACAAAGACCTGGCAGGAGACCCTGCTCTCCGGTGCCTGTGACATTGGAGGGGAGGTCCTCCCTGACCTGCCCTCCTTTCTTACCATCATTCTCAAACGGAAGCCCAGCTTTCAAATCAAAAATTAGATGGAGCCACATGTTGACCCAAATTCCTCCCTTAAAAGCCATCTCTTAGCCATTCCACTCTGGACTCCCGGCTTCCTCAGGGACCAGACCTGACAGCCTCCCCCAGGCCGCTGCGCTCGCCACTTCTGCACTCAGTGCCCTACTCAGGTATCCCCTCCCTGACCCCTACCTCTGAAGCCGCTCCACCCTCTCCCCGGGCCCTGTCCATCCCACCCCTCTCCTGAGGGTCTTCATAGCCCGTCCTGATCTGACTTCCCCTGCTGGGATGGGAACTCCATGAGGACAGAGCACTGGTCTGTCTAGTTCACTAGATCAGTGCCGAGCACACTGCGGGCGCTCCGTAGTGACCCGACCACCTGAGCATGCTCCAGCCTGCCCTGAGAAGGTGCTGGAACCCAGCCACCAGCAGGGGCTCAGCTCTGTGGGGCTTCTCTCTGGGAAGGAAGGACGCATGTGGTTAATTTAGGTCAGATCAGCTGGTACTTAGTTTTCACCTTCCTTTGTAAACTGGCAAAGCAAGCAATTCCCATAGACAGGGTGCCCTCCAGCCTCCCGAGGGGGACGCACCAGGGGTCCTGCCGAGCTGCCCTGCCTGGCCTCCCAACTCCCCTGACCCCGTACTCCTGCCACCAGGCATGCCGGCCCCGCACTGTGTCCAGCTGGCTCAAGACTCCCCGCTGCTCATACACCCTCTCTGTCCCCTCGAGCCCTATCTGGGGCCCCTCTTTGCTTCCCCCATCTCCTCTCTGTAGGAGCCTCCTCCCACGGCTCTCCCGGCTTCCCCTCTCACCCTTCTCCAAGACTTCTCCTCCCACCGGCCAAGAGGGCCTTTTCCTAAATGCAGAGCTAATCACGTCACCTCCCTGCCTGGGTGGATCCCCACTGTCTGGAGAACCATGGCCTTCAGACAACAGTGGTCCACGCTCCACCTGACCTGTCAATCCTCCCTGGCCCCCAAGTCACCAGACAGGCACACCCCCTGGTCTCTGTGGTCTGTGAGTGCCTTGGCGGGGGTCAGGTGATGCCTGGTGCTGAGCCCCCTTTCATGTCCCCCATCCCCCTCCTCCACTCCACGCCAGGCCTGCAGCCCTGGTGCGGGGAGGGGGTGCAGAAAGAGGCCACACGGACTCTGGGTGAGAGCACTCCAGCCGTGTGGCCGTGAGCACTCTCACGCCAGGCGTCTCTCTCAGGCACTGAATCTTAGTTTTTTTCCTCATATGTAAAACGGGCACAATGATAGCATCCTCTTTCTGGGCCCACTGAAACCATCTCAGTTTAAGAAGATCATTGAGCTCCCTGCCCTCTCCACGGCTCAGGGTCAGCCCCCACACCCTGGCTCAAACGCCACTCAGTCTCCAGCCAGGAACTGGGAGTGATGCTTCCACCGTGGGCTTTTCTGAACTGGGTAACAAGATCGAGTCCTGGCTCTGCCACCAACTGATTGTGAGATCTTGGGCAAGTCCCTTCCTGTCCGCGAGCCTCAGTTTCTCATCTGGAAAATGGAAGTAAGGGTTAGCCATGGTGGTGGTGTCAGGTTCCTCTGGTCTTGGCTGCCAGTGGGTCTCCGAAGTAAGGGGGACACCAGGAGTTTTGGATCATTGTCCCTGCAATGACCACTCAGGCTCTGGCAGCTGGTCCCCTGGGGAGGGGCCGGGGATGGGATGTTTAGGGATGAGAATGCTCAGCTTATCAGCATCTCCCCATGGGGTGGCTTGAACATCCTCTGTCCCTGGATCCTCCTAATGGCCCCCAAAGATAGGGTTTTTTCACAGTGAAGAAAGCGAGGCTCAGAGAACCTGGGTTGCTCACCCAGAGTCACACAGCCAAGATGAGGCTTCACAAGGAATTCTCTGCTCTCTCCCAGCTCTGGGTGGCTATCAACCCTCCTGCAGTGCATTTGTCTACTTGCTCACTCACAAATGAGTGTGCAGAAGGAGCCAGTCTCAATCCTAGCTCCTCTGCTTATGAGCTGGCTGGCTTTGGACAAGTTATTTGACCTCTAGGGGCCCAGGTTTTCTCAACTGTCTAATGGGAATAACTTCAAGTTCTTTTGTCTTGGGTCACATGGTCACTAATGTATGTATGAAGGTCCCTGGACCTCTGCCCAGCCTCAGAGTAGGTGCTCAGTGTTGCTATATGTCCCAGAAACCAGCTCTTTCCCCATTGCTACTGGAGGTAGCTTGGAGAAGACAGATGCTTTTGGCTCAAGGAATCTTGGGGGGTTTTTTGGCGCTAGAATTTCAAACTGGACATTAGAGGAAAATGTTCCTACATCCTGAGCTCATCCCAGAGGAGTGTTTCTGGCCAAAGCCAAAAAAAATCACAGGCACTTCTTTCCCCATCATGCCCAGCGGTGTCTCTCTGGACAGCTCCTTCTATCTGAAATCCCACGGCGGTGTGGGTGGTACCCAGAGTAGGTACACAGAGCACCGACTATGTGCCCAGTTCCATGCTGGCCTCCAGGGGCAGTGAGGAACAAGCCAGGCTTGATGTCTGCCGTTTGGGTGCTGAATTTACCAAAGATTTCTGAGCTGGGATGGGGTGGGGGCCCCGAACAGGCTGGGGCTCAGATCAGTCTTCCTGGAAGAGGTGACCTTGAAATGGGCTAGACCGGGGATGAGTAAGAGTCAGCCTGGCACGGCGAGAGAAGAAGAGTGGGAAGTCAGGCGTTTGCAGGAGCTTTCCAGGCAGGAGGGAGCAGGGCCGTCTGCGGAACCAGGGCTGAACAGGCACAGCGTGTTAAACACGTCAGACTGCTCACTCTTTTTAGGGGTGGGTGCCTGTCTCAGGACAGATGTCTTTGGAGTTGCTCTGAAATATTAGGGCTTCTGCAGCCTGTCACTGAGCAGCATTCTGTGAGGGCTTCGTGGAGGAGGTGGCACCCCTAGGGCTTCAGTTCAATTTGGTTTGACTCCGATCCACCTACCCTCACTAGGTGCCAGTCCTGAGACTTCAAAGGTGAAGCAGACAGGGGCTCCGCCCCCACAGAGCCCACAGCCTGTGGCAGGAAGGAGACACACTAAATGTTGGCTCATAGTTGAGGCAAAGCAGTTGCCTGAGGGTGGGGACGACAAGCTCTTTCCAGGTGGAGGGCAGGGAAGGAGGTGGCCGGGAGTTTTCCCCACAAAGGAGGGACTGCTTGGGCAGGGTTTTGAAGCATGAATAGGAGACAAAGGTGACAAGGGGGTGAAAGGGTGTTCCTGAGAGGGGCACAGACAATAGCAAAAGCTGGAGAGTGTGGAGGACCACGTGGTCTGGGTACAGGCAGGGGCACATGGTGAACAAGCTCAGGGAGGCAGGAGGGGTGAGCCTTACCTGGAAATGGAATGGCTTGGCTGGTGTGTGATGGGAGGACTAGGAGGAGAAGCTGGAGGAGGCTGAGGTCTTAGTGGCCCAGCTTAGAGGACAAGGAGCAGCGCCTCCGTGGGTGACCTCAGTGAGGAGAGAGAAAGTGGTGGTCCCCAGCCCATCTGTGGCAGTGCAGCTGTGGCAAGGGGCAGGGAGCACTGGATGTGGAATCAGATGAAACTGGCTTCTCACTTAGTTTGGTTGCTCACTGGCTGTATGGCCTTGGGCCAGTCACTCTACCTCTCTGATCCCAGTTTGCTCTTCCAGAGTATGAACCAGCTTCTCCCTCTTAGGGATGTGAGAAAACTACTGGACTGAATTTAAAAAATCTGAAAGCTCGTTTGATTGCCGCGGAGGCCTCTCTGGTACCAGAAGGGAGATTTTAGCATCTGCCCCACCCTATCCCTTAGCAAGAGTCTTTCCAGTATGTGCCAGTGCTATTTCCAGAAATCTTCCATGACTGACAGCTTTTGGCATGCGCTTGGGGTGGGCTGGAAGGCCAGGGAATTAACACCCCAGGACATCCCTCTGTCAGTGCGTGGTGGAGATGGTGGGTGAATACCCCGGCTCCCTCCTGCATCCTCTGGGGGACGCCCTGAGCACAGTGGCACCAGCAAAGCCTAGTTCGAGTCCCTCCATGCTCTCCCCCACCCCCGCCAGTAACAGCTCAATAGCATGTCCTATATCGGCTGCTGTCCCTTCCTCTCCCCCACTCCCTTTCCTCGACTGCCCGGGGTCACTTCCAAATAAACCACTTGTACTACTTCCTCATCGCTGGGTTTGCTTCTGGGTGAGCCCAACCTAAGATGGGGATGAACACTCATTCAACAAATACTGGGTGACCAGCCACAGTGTCCAGCCTAGGAGGCAGGAAAAGTTTATTCTCATCATGCCTTGGTAGGAAAGTTGTGCAACCTTGAAAAATCATCTCTCGCAAGGATGGGTAAGGGCAGAACAATAGCTGATGCTTGCTTAGCTGTGTGTAAAATTATTTAATGCAATGAATCAGTATTTCAAAAAAGAAAAAGAAAACCCAACTGCATAATGCTGTGTGACTTTGGTCCTGTTGTAGCCCTTCTCTGGGTCTTGGCCTCTGCCGTGGGACCATGGACTGCAAGTCCTCAGACTCTGGGACTGGAGACTGACCCTTCTGTCTTGCCTGCTCCCACAGGTTTGACAACTATTCAGCCAATGTGATGGTGGACAGCAAGCCTGTGAACCTGGGGCTCTGGGACACGGCTGGACAGGAGGACTACGACCGCCTCCGGCCGCTCTCCTACCCGCAGACGGTACGCTGCCCCACCCCATCTTTGTGGTCTTGGCGTTTGCATTCCTGTTGCCTCTGCCTGGGATGCCCTTTGGCCAGCTCCCAGCTCGGCCTGGTGAACCCTGACCCTCTCCTTAAGGATGAGCTGGCGGAATCCCCGCACTCCCTCCCAGCCCTCCATCGGCCCCTGCCATCATTCTGCCCATCTGTCCTCCCAGCCCCTCTGCTTCAGGGGCTCTGGCACCACCTGGTTCTCAGTGAGTAGGGTAGGCAGATCCTGGACAGGGACCCACTAGGGAACTCAGGATGGTGAGCCCTGGGGGTGCTGGGGTGGGGAGGAGAGAGGTGGGTACACCTACAGTTGGCTCTGTGGCTGCTAGTTTCTCCCTTTGGGATAGGGAAAGGGCTGGGGCTGGTGATCAGACGACGGGGTAGTGAATGCCTGGTGAGGAGTGTGGATTCCGGAGTTCCAGATAGCAGACCCTTTAATCCTTATAAGCCTCACTCTTCCCATCTGTAGAATGGGGCTTTAGCAGTGCTGCTATAGTGGTGTGTGAGGGTAAACTGCTTAGAACAAGCCCTGGCTTTTAGGAAGTATTGTTCCTTCCTAACAAGCAGCAGCCTGGTAGCAGAGGCAGGAAGGGAGTCCCTGCTCCAGTGGATCCTCAGTACACAGCATCCCCGGGGCTATTCCAGCCCTCAGTGGCTGCCCAGGGGTGGGAGGGCCCAAGGGGGATGCCTCCAGACCTCCCTTTAGGAATGACCCTTGCCTGATCCCCCAGGATGTCTTCCTCATCTGCTTCTCCCTCGTCAGCCCAGCCTCCTACGAGAATGTCCGTGCCAAGGTGAGTGGGACGGAGCAGGGGCTTGGGGTGATGGAGCAGGTGACCCTGAGGGAAGGAGCATGGGAGGGAGGGACCGGTGACTTTGGCCTGTCCCTGGAGCAGTGATGGTATGGGCAGAGAGAGTCCTCCGTGCCAACCAGGGCAGGTGTGGGGCAGGGGGACTCAGGGGATGAGACTCAGAGTCTCAGCGGAGGCTGGTATATTACACTTTACTTTCTAACTGTGTCTCCTCCCCTCCTCCCACACCCTCATGCCTGCCTCTTTTCTCTGCACAAAATCTGGCCTCCTCTTTTCCCACAACCACATGTCCTGGGCCCTGCACACGTCTCTTCTCACACCCTCACACACCCCCCATCTTTTCCCAACTTGGTGCCCCTCTTCTCCCCCACTCTCCCGCTCCCCTGCTCCCTGCGTGAACCCCGCACCCCACTCCCTGGCCCAGTGGTTCCCCGAGGTGCGGCACCACTGCCCGAGCACACCCATCATCCTGGTGGGCACAAAGCTGGACCTGCGGGACGACAAGGACACCATTGAGAAGCTGAAGGAGAAGAAGCTGGCGCCTATTACCTACCCGCAGGGCCTGGCACTGGCCAAGGAGATTGGTACGGGGCTCGGGCTCAAAGAGGGGAGCTGGGTGCAGGGGGAGCCCCGACTCTGCCTGGTGGTGATGGCAAATACAGGCTTCAGGGCCAGGCTGTGCGCTTCCCACCCTGGCCCTGCTGTGGAGTAGCTGTGGGACCTGGGCGGGTCACTTAGCCTCTCTGTGCCTGTATTTCCTCAACAGTGTCAGTTCTGGGTGGTTGGGAACATTAAATGAATTCGTACCCAGGAAGTTCCTAGAGCAGCACCACCCATGGGAAGCACTCTGAGTTAATTATTATTAGCAGTATAATCCATAAGCAGGTGTTGAGATGAGTGCCTTTTGACAGACAGAAGCAGGGGTGTGCTGTGGTTGCACAGAGCACCAGCAGCCAAGCTGAGCTTGGGTCAACCGGGGAGGCTTCCTGGAGGAGGTGCTTCTGCTTGGGTTTGAAGGGTAATGCCTTCTCTTCTGCCTCCTTCTCATTTTCCTTTCCCGACTCCCACCATCCCCCAGCCCCCGCCCCGGCTTCTCAACCCAACTCCTCTTTGCTTCTTGATCACTGGGCCACAGACGTGTAGTGGCTTCTCAGGGTCACGCAGCTGGTAGGTGGCAGAACCAGGATCTGAACACAGGACAACAAACTACTGGCTTGGGGGCCTCCTCATGGTGGCTCAGGGCTGCCTGCACCGTGGAGGTGATGACCGATAGGTCTGGCTTCTTCCATGGCGTACAGGCCTGCTGTCCTTGGTCAGGCCCTAACCTGCCTGCAGCCCAGGGATGGGACACTTGTCCAAGAGCCTGGGACCACCAGCTGGATTTGGCCACTCTGAGCAGCGACCTGCCTGCTCAGGATGCTCTCTCTGTCTCACCACAGGGTCCCGCAGGCCCAGGGTTTGGCCCCCGAACTAGTTGGGCCTTCCCCAACCCATCCCTGCCCCAGCCCTACCCTTCTTCCTTCCGCCGGAACTGGGAGGGCCCTGGGGACTCACATCTCTTCACAGGAAGAGAAACCGCAGCCGTCACCTCCCCCTTCACATGACTAGCCCAGGGACATGGCCATCTGTCCCAGGAGCTCCCACTGCTGCTTAAACCCTGGCCCTAGGCCCCATTTTAGGGGCTCTGGCTCGCAGCCCCGCTGGTCTTTCCTCACTAATGCTGGGGACTGCATGCCTGCCTGCTCTTCTTTCTGCCAGCCTGTCCTCTCTGGACTCCTTCCACCCAAGACAGTGACTCTCCAGCTGCATCTGACCCTTCCTTTTTAAAGCGCAGGATTTGGTATAAGACAGGCCCTGGAAGCCTGGATTCTGCTCCCAGCTCTGGCACTGACTGTCTGTGTGACTTCGAGCCAGTGGCTCTCCCTCTCTGGACTTCAGTTTCCCCATTGACACAAGCCAGCCTACACACTCCCCAAAGGTCCCTTCTCCTCCGTGAGATGACTGGGGGGGTCCTGCCTTGGCCTCCAGCCAATCCTTCCTGCAGCTGATCCCAGGTGGGGATGGGGCAGGGGAAGTGACCTTGAACTTGCCTCAGACCAGCCCAGGCCAAGGGGGAGCCTGGGGGACCTGCGGGCTGATGAGCAGGACAGCTGCTTCCTCTGCCCACCAGCCCAGGACGATGATAAGTTGTGGGGCAGCTCTGATCCCAGCTGCTAATCACGGGCGGCATGGATTGAGCGCTTCCTGGGTGCTGGGCCTGTGTGTTCGCCCACTTCACTGTCATAGCAACTATGAAGGAGGGGCTCTCATCACCTCACTTTACAGGGGAGGAAACTGAGGCTTAGGGAGGAGAAGTTACTGGCTCAAGGCCTTCCAGCCAGGATGTGGCGGAGTCTAGACTCAAACTCGGGCTGCCTGGCTCCCTCAGTCATGACTGAAATCATCTGTTGCTCCCACAGATGAGAGACTGAGGCCCAGAGAAGGGGACTGGCCAAAGTCCTGGAGTGGCCAGGCCCCCAGTCAGGACCCTTTCTCTGGACACCACTGAGTCAAGAAGCAAGAGGGTGGCAGGTGCCAAGGAGTACGCAGTTGGTGGGTGTGGAAGGAACAAGTGGTCACTGGCTAGGGTCCCTTGCAGGGAGACAGTGGCCAAATGCCCAGTGACACCCTTCTGGGCACAGAGGGTAATGGTGACGAGACTCCTGGACCCAGCTGGGGATGCTCCGTTCCTGCCGAATGAGCCCTGAGACCACTGCCCGTGCTCCCCGGTGGGAGAATGTTCCCACAGGCAAGGGGGACATCCAGTGTGGGACGTTGGACAAGTGACATCCCCTCTGAGCCTCAGTGTCCTCTTCCTTGCCCCACCATTTCCTTCTCCCAGCCCCAGGGATTGGTGTGCTTCCCTGGTCCCCAGGCTGCCCCTCCCTAGAGCCTGGCTCCCCTCTCCCAGCTGTGTGTCTCTGGGTCCAGGGCTTCCCCTCTCTGGGCCTGTTTCCTCACCTGGGAAGTGGGGAATCATAGTATTTCTTCACAGGGTTGTCCGAGGCGCCCAGCTCAGTGCCTGGCAGGGAGCAGGTGCTGATCACCGTCCATCTGCTTCCTTCTCCCCAGCGAGGAGACACAGTTTCCCCCCCTCCCCTGGCCCTCTCCTTCCTCTTATTTCTGAAATCAGCCCCCAGGCCTCTCTCAGGGGGATTTTTTTGTTGCTCACTTCAGGGAAACTGCTTGGGTTGTAGTGAATACAGGAACTCACACAGATTCCTTCCAGAAGGCCATGGAACACTGGCCCTGGGAGTCAGGGCTCAGCTTGCCTTTCTCGCTGGCTGTGCCCCAGGCTCCAGCCTTGAATGGTCACATGGGAGGAGTCTTGTCCCCTCCTGGGGGAAGGGGGGCTCCCTAGTCCCCATTCTTCTTGCTGAGGGCCCCCAGCCACCCCTAGGGGGAGGGGATGTGTCTAGCGTGTGACTTTGGACAAGCGACTTCTGAGCCTCAGTTTTCTCATCTGTAAAATGAGGTGATGCTAAGGACCAATTAGGTGACATTTGGAAGGGCCTGGGGCATGAGCCGTGGGGTCCTCAGGCCTCCCAGGGGATGCGTGGAGGTAGATATGTGGCGATGTTCTTGAAGAAAGTGAGGTGCCCATAGATTTAGTCACTGTAGCTTGAGCTCCTTTCTTGCCAGGAAAGTATCAGAATTCCTGCTGCCTTCTGCAAACCGAGGGCTTCCCTGCCCAAGAAAGACACACACCTGCTCTCATGGGTCTTAACTTCTCCCTCTGAATTCAAGCTCCCCATTTCAGACATGAGGAAGCTGGGCCCGAGGGGTGAATACCCTGCCCTGAGTGACACTGCCCAGGTGGGCCCCACAGCCTGGCACAGTGATGTGGCTTGGGAGGGGGCTCTGCCCGGCCCTGACCCAGGCCCCTACCCTCTTTCTGCCCTGACCCAGACTCGGTGAAGTACCTGGAGTGCTCCGCCCTCACCCAGAGAGGCCTGAAGACCGTCTTTGACGAGGCGATCCGCGCTGTCCTGTGCCCCCAGCCCACACGGCCGCAGAAGCGGCCCTGCAGCATCCTCTAGGGGTAAGAACCCCTCCCCCTCAGCTTCAGGACCCTCTGTCCCCTCCCCCGCTCCCCACACCACTTCCCACACAGAGCGGGCTCCGGCTGGGAGGGAGGCCCCTGCTCAGGGGCCCTAAGTTTCACTGGGATGGCATTTAGACCAGGAGAGATGAGGGAGCATCAAAGAGGCATCAGTTTCCCCATTTCTCGGATCCAGTCCTGCTCTGTGAGCCCAGTTCCCAGAAGGAAGGTCCAGGGTCTCAGAAAACGCCAGGAAACCTGAGCCAAGGCGTGGGGTCAGTGAGCTCCCACTCCGCGTCCCTGCAGGAGGGCGGGAGGACCAGGGTGCAGATACCTTGGCCCCTGCCCCTCAGGAGACCTGGGCTGAGCCAGGAAGGCCTGACACCCATATATAGGGGTGAAGCAGGGCAGCCTGAGCTATGAGGCTGCTGGGGGCAGAAGAGGGGTGGGTGTGGGTTGGAGGCAGCCACAAGGCTTCCTGGAGGGGGGACAAGAAGAATGGAAAGGACTTGGCAGACCTTGAGCAAAAGCTGGGTGTGGGCTGTGGATTCTGCTTGTCCCCAAATTCTTACTGCCTGCCTATCTTCCTTCCAGGACGTACCCAGCCCTCCCAGCCGTGGGAGGTGCTTCTGACCCTTCAGGGCCCCCAGCAAAAGCCCGACGGCACCCCGGCTGGCCATGCTGTCCCCTCCCTGTGGCGTCTCTTAGCCGATGGCTTCAGAGCTTGGTTGATCGTCTTCTCTGTGCTGGAGGCCCTCTGGGGCCCGAAGGGTGTAAATTTGTAGGCGCTGCATCCCCATCCTCTCATGCTCCTGCACTCCCAGGGGCCAGAGGGGAGCCCCAGGACCCAATAAACCACCCCTGCGTTGCTGCGGTCAGACGCCCCCACATAGCATCATCTACCTGTATATGCCTTCCATCCAATGCCTGAATTCCCTCTGGAAACATCAGGCCAGATGGTTGCCAGCCACCACTCGTGTATGTTCAGGGACAAGTCTCTCCCTCCTGAGGCAGTGTACTCCAATATCGATGGTTTTTCTTGTCTGAAAGTTCTCCTACTGAGCTAAAATGTCTCAGCAGTTTACTTCTCTGGTCTTAGTCCTCTTTTGGGACAACATAAAACATTCAGATTTTCTAAAATGTCTGCGGGCATCTGCCCAGCCAGTCAAGAGGCTGGGTCCAGCTGACTCCTGCCATCTCAAGCCTTTCTGCTCCACTCACAGGATCCTGAGCTGCATTTACTTGTGAGAGTCTTAAGACTTTCAGACCCTGCCAGTCAGGACTTTTGCCATTGCAAATAGAAACCCAGTTCAACCTGCTTAAGCAGAAAATAAATTTATTGATTCAAGTTTGGAAATATCATGACTTCAGGTATAGCTTGATCAAGGGGACTCGATGGTATCATTAGGGCTCACTTTCCTGTACCTCTTTGCTCTACCTTCTGCTGTCTGGTTCATTCTTAGGCAGGTGACTCTTAAGGCTTCATCCTTCCAACTTCAAGTTCAGTTTAAAAAAAAAAAGCAAGTGTCTGCCGCAGGCAAAGTTCTGATTCAGGCTCACTCTGATTGGACTAGCATAGGTCTTGGGCTGTCCCTTCAACCAATTATATTTGTTAGGAAGATGCTGTGGTCCGATTGGTCAAGTCTGGGCTACATGCTGCACAGAGCAAGGAGTGGAGGCAGCCCCGGGCCAAACCACACACTCTAGGTGAAGGGGGGTTGGGTCTGAAATGGAGACTGAGAACCTTACCGGAATTTGGGAATATGGGTGTTAAGCAACCAGAAACTCCCAGTCGCCACTATTGGAGGTCCCAGGAAACTGTCTGAACGGTGTAAAGAAGCAATGCCAGCCCCAGCAGGCCCTAAGCACAGTCAAGTTTCTTTAAAAGAGAGATGAGGCTGTGGTAAGGACTTAAGAAGTTCATCCGTAAGGGTCATGGTACCAGGTGTGGAGCCTGTCCCACCTCCGTGTTCACTAACTCATGAGTGCCAGACTTTCCCATCCTGAAGACGATTCCGCTTCTCTGTCTAAGCTTCATCCATTCATTCAACACAGATTTACTGAGCACCTACTCCTTGCCAGGCACTGTTCTAGGTGCAGGGGTCCAGCGGTGCACCTGAATTCTTGCCCTCAGGGGCTGACACTCTAGAGAAGCTAAAAGAAAGGAATGAAAACAGAGATCTAAGACCCCGTTCCTGACAACACGGAAGTCCCCCAATCCCCAGCCAGGGAAACACTGTGGGCTTCCATTCCCCACTCTCCCAGAGCTCCTGGCCACCTCCACTGCCCTCCTAAGTCCTGAAGTTCCAAGGCAAGACCTCAGCTTATTTGCCTCCCAGGAGACCCACCCTCTTGAAAGGGACAGGGTGCAGGGGGAAACCCCAGGGCCTTTCCTGGTCTCAGCTCAGACAAGATCGTTGTGCTTTTAAAGTTACTTCTCCTCTGAAACAAACCAAAAATCCACTAAGTCTCCCCATTCCCACCCCCATACACACACACGACACATGACACAGACACAGATGTGTAGGGGTCAGACCCCATACATTAATACGTTCAGTGTTTAAAAGCCCCGAGAAACCCCTTCCAGTGGGCCAGAATAGAGGAGAGCCTCTCTGTTCCCTGCTCTTCTGGGGCCTTGGGATAAATTGAGGACCCTCCTGGTGGCCCTGGGGCCTGGCCACACCCCGCCTCCCTCTCTCCTGTGCTCACACCTGCTCTGCCATGTGTTTCTTCCACTGAGCCCACCCCAATGGACACAGTCCTTGCTTTATACCAATAATAACATCAGTAAATAAATTCTCTCACCATTGCGTGGTCTCACTGAGCACACACAATCTCATTTAATTCTAATGTAGGTACGAGCTGGTCTGGTTTGTAAAGAAAGAAATAGAGGCACAGGAGTTAGAGCTCGGCTCACTAAAGCAGACACTGTACTTTTCCACCCACTACCACTACTCCCATCCTCCTTGCTAACAGGATCCTAGTTTTGTGCAGAGCAGCAATCTATCTAGCCCCAGACACAAATATTTGTTTTCCCAGCCTGCTTTGCAGCTGAAGTTCCAAGTTTGCACAGTTCTGGCCAACAAGACCAGAAAATCAGCTGGAATCAAAAAAAGTTTTTGTTTTTTTCCCCATAAAAAACGATAGAGCCAGCCAACACTACCTTTTGTCCTGTCCCCTTCCCTGATGAACACTGAAGAGATGCCTGGAGCTGCAGCAGCCACATTATGAACCTGAAGCCACGAACTTGAAAATACAGCCTAACATGTTAAGAATAGAAGAGCAGAAAGATAAAAAAGCCTGGATCCTTCCCAACTTTGGTCGACAGCTGAGCAAATGCCAATGGCTGCCTTGTTAAGGCAATAGAGTGAAAATGAAACCACCTATCTCTTTATGTCACTGTTGGCCAGGCTTTCTGTTACTGTTAGTTGACAGCAATTATAACTGAGGACTCCTCATATAATTTTAGGACTCCTGGCCTAGTGCTCATTCCGTTGTATCATTGTGTCCAGAACTCACTGGACATGGGGTGAGTAACTCATTTCTGCTCTGAAAATTGGCTGAGGACCAGATCCCCTTTAGGTAAGAAAGAAAAACCTTGAAGGAAGTGGGTGAGGGGTTTTGAAACAGGAAGAAATGTTAGTTGTGGGCAGGAGCTGACAACATGATGATGCTCACTCATTCGACAACAGCCACTCCCAAGCACCCACCTAGTGCCAGTCCTGGGCTGGGTGGCAGGGCTTGGGTGCATTAGATTTGGCCCCTCGCAATAACGTCACTGCCTGATGGGTGAGGAAGGCACCTGCCAGATAAGCCTACTTCATTTGGGGCTCTCTGTCTGGCTTCTCCATGGGCCTTCTCCCAAAGCAGAGGCCTGGGGTCCCCCTGACTTCTCCCATTCTGTCACCCAGCATTCATTGGTCACCAAGCCTGGAAAATTCAGTCTCCCAGTATCTGTTAAACCCAACCCCTCATCTGGTCCACTGCTGCTCCTGGCTCTAAGCCTTGCAACCATCCCCTGGACAGTAGCTACAGTCTCCTCACTGGCCTCCCTGCCTCCACTCTCCCTGCCTATACTTCAGCCTCCTACCAGGCAGCCTGGGGGATCTTCTTCATTTAGAAACATAATTATGCCACTCAGATGCCACGGTGTAGGGCCACCATGATCCACTAGTACCTGGCGCTTAGTGGACGCTGGGTAAATGTTTGTTGTTTATATAAATGAATAAGCAGATGAAAGAATGAACTTTAATGGAGAGAGAGACCCAACCAGTCTAGTGATCCAGCTGAGCCCAGCCTTCCAGCATTCTCACCCAGGCACCAGTCATATGCATGAGCCATCTTGGATGTGCCAGCCCAGTCGAGTCCCCAGATGACTGCAGCCCCAGCCAACAGCAGGGGGAGCAGAAGAGCCACCCAACTGAGCCCAGCCAACTCACAGAATTATGAGAGATGATACAGGGCTACACTGAAACAATGACTTTTCTGGGGCCAAAGTCCCTGCTGTCTCTGCCTTTGACCTCTTACCCCTCCTCCCTACACTCTTAACTCCCTCATTGCCCAAGAAATAGTCATCCCTGGGGACATCTGACTATCTAGGCCTTGTGGGATGTGGGTGGCAGGGCAAGGTAGGCTCTGGGGAGGGTGACATAGATCTAGGATAGTTCTAGAAGACTTCTGAAGCCTTCGAAGAAGTGAAAGGATGAGCAGTCATCCATATAATCTAAAGTTCAGTTCAATTCAGTTCCCATGTATTAACAATACACTCTATGCCAAGTGGTGCTTGGAGGCAGGGGTGAGACCCAGCCGTCTGCTCCCCAGAGGCTCAGAGGCTAGCGGGAGAAACAGACGTGTAAATCAACACCTGCCATGGGGTTTGATCAACATACCACAGAAGTGCATTCAACAGAAAAAGGAAGAGATGCTGGCCTCAAGGTGCCAGGTAGAGATGTTTCCACCCCCTCACCCCTGGCTGAAAAGCAGCCCAACAAGAAGGAGAACATGAAACAGAAACACAGACTCTCGTCTTCAAAGAAAGCCGGAGACACCTGTGACCCCAAACCACAGCACAGAAGCAGGAAGAGCAGATGGAGGGGTGGTAAATGATTTAACAGAGCCTAGGAAAGACAAACTTAAGTGTCTGCTGTTCCGTGGTGGGTGGGGTGGGGGCTTGGAGATGGGAGAGATGCAAACCTACTGGCCTTATGGAATCCTGAGGGGCTCTAAAGTAGGGGATCCAGATACCACAGATGGTGAGGCAGGAGCCTGGAAACAGAGGGGTTGTTTGGAAATCTATTTAAGGAGTACTTAGACTCCCCAGATCCTCCCCCCTATGCTAAGCAGCCAGGCAACCACCCCTTCCTAATGGGGGTAGGGCAGTCCAACCAGAGAGTTCTGGACCCAAGGACACTAGCTACACATCAGGTTGGGGTGAGGCCCTAGACTGATTCTTGGGGATGTGGTAGACTTAATTATGCTTAGCAGGTAATCACTCTGTCCATCCCCTACCTCCAGGGAGGAGGGTACTTTCCCACTCCAGTGAGGCTGTCTTGGCCATGTGACTTGCTTTTGGCCAATGGGATGTTAGCATATGCACCACAAGGACAGACTTGATGCACTTGCACCATGTTCTCTTGTGCTGACAAAAGAACAAGCCTTGGTAAATCCGCTGGTTCCAAGAGTACAAAAGAAATAGGGAGCAGAGGTATCCAGCTGACCTGAAGACCTGCAACTCAAAGGAGATCAGCCTAGCTAAGCCCAGCCTAGATCAACCAATCCCAGCTGACCTGAAGTTGTGTAGTGAAATAAATGCATATTATTGTGCACCACAGAGACTTTTGTGGCTGTTTGTTACACAGTAGTAGCTGACTGATACAGGGGGGTTCAGTGAAAATCTGAATACTTAACAGAGTGTCTTCAGCCCCTTTCCCTGGCCCAGTTTAGGAATGCTACCACCCAGGAAGACACTCATCCCAGACAGGAAACTGGGGACAAGATCCGACCACTCCAGTGAAAAGTTTTACAGATGCTGACATCTGGTGACACCTGGATGTCCTTGACAAAACATCCAGCTGTTCCTACAGAGATGTCCACTATTTTGCAAGCCCTGCCTTCCTACATGGAGCTTCCAGTCTGATTTTTTAATGCTTCATTCTGAAAAATGAATGGATGGCAAAAGATGGCTAGTTAATTGAGGAAAGCTCTAACATGAAAGAGACTCAATCAAACAAGAAGAAGAAAAAAAAAGAACTAGCAAGAAATAGAGACAAGGCAGTAATCAGAAAAAAACTTTTAAAGAAATCATTATTGCTATCCTTAGAGATATAAGGAAACATATTATATCCACAAATAAATACAAAATGCCATGACAGAGGACTAATCAGGAAACAGAGAAGAGCTCTTAGAAATTAAAAATACATTGATAAAATTTTTTTCAAAATAGAAAAGTTGGAAGATAATAAGAATAAATTTTATCTTAGAAGAAAATAATTCTATCTCAGAAGCCAGAAAAAGAGTAAAATTAAACAACGAGAAAATTAAAGGATTAGTCTAGGAGGCCAGTAGTAAAATAATAAAAGTTTCAGAAGGAAATAATGAAAAAAAATCTTCTCTAAAACTGAAGAACACATATCTTCAGCTTCAGACAGTTCACTGAGTTCCCAAACACTTGGTGTTGGTGGGGGGAACATGACTCAGGCATTATAAAATGTCAGAAATGTAAGGATAAAGCAAAGATTCTAGAAGCTTCCAGAATAATGAAAAAAGCTATCTAGAGTTACACACAAAGGACTGAAACTAAGAATAGGGCTAGAAACCAGAGACATGGATCCACCCTCTGAATCAAGGTCTATCTTCTCGACCTAGAATTCTACACCCAGCCAGGCCATCCACAAGGGTGAAAGGAGAATGAATTTCAAACATGCATAATCGCTCAGGAAATTACTAAGGATGCACGCCAACAAAATAAGGGAATAAACCATTAAAGAGGAAGACGTGGGATTTAGGAAACTGGATGTAACACAGGAAAACACTGAAGGGAATCCCTGAACTAATGGTGGAGAGAGAATCCCAGGGTGTCGGCTGCGCCCAGGCAGCGGGGGACTGCGGGGACAGAGAGGAGTTTAGGAGTCTCCAAGAAAAAATTATCCCTGAGGTTAGCCCCTGGAAATGTCATTGTGAAGTTTTTATGAAGCCGTAGGTGTGTATGGAAGTAGTCCAAGAAAACGAAGGTATTTTTTTTTAAATCTAAGCAAATGAAGAAATGAGGCAATTATTAACCCCTGGCTGAGCTGGAGATAATATCTACATTGCATTAATAATGGAAACATTGAATATGCATTTAACAGAAAATTTGTTACTTTGAGAGGAAGAGGAAAAGGGACCAGAGTGTGTAAGAAATCTAAAATCCTCATCTACCATAACAGGAAGTCAGTAGATGATGGGTAAAACTGAGGATTTGAGAGACAGAGAAACAAATCCTATTTAGCAAAGTGGAGATAAATACAAGGAGAAGTAGCTAAGAGGGTGAATATGCCTCTGGGCCACAGGGTGGGCCAGGGCCTTGGGAGGACTCCTGTTTTTTTTGCTCTTCTAAGTCTTTTTAGCACTATTGGTTTTTAAAGCTTATTTGCAAAGAGTACTTTGAGAAAAGCAAATTAAAAATAATTTCATTACAGATAGAAAGGAAGCCCAGAGGAGGGAGTGGCAGAGAATGAAAAGGCTTCAGAGAAGGCTTCCTTGAGCAACTGATGCCTAAAACTATTGAAGGATGAAGAGAGGGCCAAGGAACAGCCTGTGCAAAGGGCCTGGGGCATGTGTGAGGTTCAGCCTGAAGGCCAAGGCAATTAGAAAGAGACGAAGGGTGAGTGTAAAGAGAAGCAGGCAAAGGCAGCTTACATGGGTACCCTTACATGGGTGGATTTCATTCTACAGCAACGGGTGGCCCTAGGATGGTCTCAAGGAGGAAGCAACTGGTGTGACTTATTCTTAACAGACCCTTTCTCCTTGCTGAGGAGGGGGTGAGGGCAAAAGCAGGAGGACCAACAAGAGGTGATGGTGGTTTGGCCCAGAAAGGAGGCTCCAGGGCTGGAGAGCAGTGGACAGGTTAGAAAGAAGATTTCGAAGTAACAGCAATGAGGCTTGACGCAGAGAGAGGCGGGGACCAGCTGACAGGAGTTTCCTTCGTTTGACCTTCACATGAAACTTGGGGGCTGGGTGGGAATGGGGGCACATTATACTGAAGAAGAAAGTCTGCAGAGGAGTTTCACAAAGTCGTGCTGCTTGACTGAAGCAGAACTGGGGCTCAGACTCACCTGCCCAGTCTGCTAACCCACCTCCCTCGAACGCAGGAGGCGTCCCTGGGAACTGCTGCTGGGAAAAGGGGTTAACTAATTCTAATTCCCAGCAATCCTATGCAGCAGGTGTTGAGGATGAGGGATGGAGGCTCAGAGAGGTTAAGTCACATATCTAAGATCGCACAGCCAGTAAATGGCAAAGCTGAGATTCAACCCCAGCAGGTGCCAGCAGGGGCTGATGAACCAGAGGACGTCCTTAACAGGGACTCCAGTGACGGAGCCCCAGAAGCTGGGCATGGAAGGCTTTTTGGCTCTTCTCTTCTTATTTGAGAAGAAAGACCTCAGCCTCACTAGCTGAGCCCCCAACCCTGCCCTCCAGCCTAGGCATTGTTGGGGCGGGGAGAGGCGGGAGGAAGTTTGGCCCTGGCTCTCGGGATGGGAGGAGGCTGAGCCGCAGCTCCTGGAAAGCCACCTGTCTGATGGCAGGGGCACAGTCGTTGATCTGGGGAAGCCCTCCAACCTGAGTGTAGAGACACGGCCTTAGTCTTGAGGAGGCCAAGGTGTGATGGGGGAGACATAGCATTGTTCTGTCTTGGGGAAGTGGGCCCAGCAGCCCCTCCAGGACACTAGGCAGAGGTTACCGACTGAGGGGCCAGGTCCAGGCCTGAGAGTAGAGGCTCTCACTCCAGGACCTCAACGCCAGGCAGGGCGGGACCACCCCACGGCTCCCAGACACCCAGCGACACAGCTCCCCAGAGTTCACAGGTATGAAGCTGCCTTTCCTCTTTCTGCCCCGCCATCCCCAGGAGGAGGGCTTATCAGGGGCCCCAGGGTCACTTCTGCTGGGCCAGGTCCCTGGGGCGGGGGCTGGTGTCTGACTCAGGTCACACCTCCCCCAGCCTGATGCCCAGGACCCCTCACCATCTCTCCAGCCTCCAGCTGACATTCAGTAGATCACAGCCTCCCCTCCTTTGCCACCTGGCAGCTGACCATCCATCCATCCACCCTCTTCTCCTCATTAAATGTGCGGTGCCGTGCTGGTGCCAGGCCTGGGGACACGGAGGGGAGACCCACACAAAGTCTGCTGTTCCGGAGCTCACAGCCTAGCATAGGACACGGCTGAGTCTTGCTGAGCCTGGATTAGAGACCGTGTGGGGCTCGGGGCTGGGGGGCTGGGTATCCAGGAGGTCCATGGGAGAGGCCCAGCTAGTCCAGGGCAGGGGAGTTTTCCAGCAGGAGGCTCCCTGAAGGAGGACTCCTCACGGATGGGGATGGAATGGGGTGAGAAGAGTGTCCCAGGCGGGGGACACAGAGTGTGCAAAGGTCCTGAGGAGAAGCAACACTTTCTCACCGGTTCCTGACTGGTGAGCCTTTGAAAAACAAATCAGGTCACGAAACTCCTCTGCTTGCACCCGGAGAGGCTCCCAACACTCTGAGCCTAAGACGACAAGGCCCTCCGTGGCCTCGGTGGTCTCCCCACCTCCCTCCTCTCTCCTGGTCTCCTCCTCATCCCTTAGATGCATGCTGGTCATCACCTCAGTGCCCATAACGGCCCTTCCCGATCTTCCCAGATATTTGCTCCATCTCTCTGACATCCTCAGAGAGGCCTTCTGAGGTCATCCGGCTGATGAATGAATGATACATGGAACAAACGAATGAATGAGCGAGGCTGGGTGTGCCTGGAACACAGACAGGTGAAGAAAATGAGCAGAGGAGGAGACATGAGCAGGTGGTGAGGCTGGGAAGGTGTGAAACCCCTGGGAATGCTTTGTGGGGGGACTGTATTCTGAGCTGCTGAGAAGCCCTGGAGGGTTGGGCCAGGGAGGGACAGTGCCCCTGAAAGCCCCCTCACTCCCAGGAGCTGCCTCAGAACCCAACTACTCCTCGCAAACTTGTGCAGACAGAACCCTGCCGCCTGGAGGCAGGGCCTTGCCAGAGAGACAGACGGGGCAGTGGGGAGGCAGGGAGGGGGGCTCCAGGTGGAAGTGGTGTGTCCTTCCCTAGTCCTACTGTGTGCTGCTGCAGCCAGAGCACCCCCTCCGGAAAAGCTGGATTCCCTGCTCTCTGAGGGCCTACCACGTGGCAGCCCTAGGGACCTACTGACAAAGTAGGTCCAGCTCTGGTCCTAAAAAATGACTCAGTACAGAAAGGGGCCTGGATGGTGCCTGGCACACAGTAGGTGCTCAACAAAGACTCATTTCTTTTTTCCCTCTGTTCTCTGATTGTTACCTCCTTTGCCTTTCTGTGGGCAAGGTGCTTCAGAGCACACCTTTGGCACAAAGCCGTCCCACCTCTCCACTCACTAGCTGTGTGACCTGAGTAAACTGCTTGCCCTCTCTGAGCCCCAGCGTCCCCATCTGAAAACCAGATACACTAACTCTGCTGATCATAGGTGGTGTGGTGGCCATGAGGCACAGTGATGTCCTTGAAGCAGCCGGCTCTTGGGGGGAAGGCTTCATAAAAAAGGCTGCCATTACTAATTGACTCTTAGGCACTTATAATGCTCATATTGAAAGAACTTAGGAGTGATCTAGTCGACCTCCCAAAGATCCAGATGGGGAAACTGAGGCTCCGAGAGGAGACAACTTACCCACAGTCACACAGCTGGTTAGCACAAGCTAGGGCACGGCGTCCAGGGGCAGCCAGGACTGTGCTCAGGCCCCAGGCAAAGGATTTTAAACCAGGGGTCTACCAATCTGGCCAGTCTACCGCACTGCCTATTTTTGGACAGTCTGCCAGCTAAGAGTGTTTTTTTTACAGAAGACTATTTGTAACCAATTTGATGAAAGGAAATACTCACTTTGAACTCCAAGTAAGCAAAATGTTACCCCATTCAAATAAAAAAAGATTTTACTGAAAAAGTCCTCAATTATTAGTATTAGATTTGAAATTTGGTCAATTTACAAATATTGGAAATTTGTTTCCTCCTGTATAATAGCTTTGATTTTTCCTCTTGGCCCCCAAAGTCTGAAATAGTTCTTTTCCCTGTTCTAGTCTTCACCCTTCCCGGGGCTCCCCAGACCCATCTAGACTGATAATCCCCGCCTGGCTTTCCTCTGTGGCTGGCATCCAGCCCCTGGCCGAGGAACCCAGACTGCGGAACTGCGGACTCCCTGCCCAGTGCTCATCCGATGCTCCCAGCCCTCTTCGCAGCACTGGCCTTGGGACCCAGCTGTTGCTCTGGGGGATGTGTGCCCACGGTGGCCTGGGAGGCGTCTGGCCACTGGCTCTCGGCCCCCAGCAACCCTGAACACCACACTCTCATTTCCAAGCCCCTGTGGAAACCAAGGCCAGCGTGGGTGGCTGAAATCTCCCCGGTAACAGGGTCTGCCCCCCTTCCAGCCTCCTCCCCTAACCTGCCGCCCCTCCCCGCACCGCCCCCCACCCCCCGCCTGCACCTTCGCTCCGGCCCCTCCTCCTGGCCCCTCCTCTCAGCCCTTCCCGCACCCCCACTCCTGCTCCCTCCTTCCCTGGCTCTCCATGTCACCATCTGTGGCACAATCCCTCTCTGTCACTCTCCCTGCCACCCCCTCCTTCTCCTTTCTTCCCTGCGCTCTTTCCCTGCATCTCCCTCTGCATTCCTTTCTCTTGCCCCTTCTCTCACTCTTTCCTTCTCTTTCTCTTCTCCTGTCAGGCAGGCATTTCCCATCACTCCCCCTCATTCTGGCTTTCCACCCACTCACCGTCTTCTCTCTCTGGCTCTTCCTCTCTCTCCACCTCCAACCGACCCCGCTTTTCCCTCTATTTCTATTGGTTTCTTAGAGTCCCCTCTTCCCCATTTCTCTTCTTTCCCTTAGGGAGCTTCTCCCTCCACCCCCACCCCAGGCTCCTGCCTGCAGACCCCCTCATCTCTGCCCCTACCCTCCCACCCAAGGACGTGTCCTGGAGATGGGGGGGTGATGCACCAGGCGCCGGTGGGAAGTCAGGGCTGGAGACCAGATGGGAGCGGCTCTGTGGGCAGACGTGGCCGCCGCAGGCCTAGGAGGGGGCCCAGTCCCTCAAGCAGTGTAGAAGTGGACACTGTGTGGGGACCCCGGCTAAGCGGTGCTCAGTGGGGCCTGGGGACTGGACAGGGAGAGGGGGCAGCAGAATGATAACCAGCTTGGCAGCAAGGAGGGGAGCCCTCAGCCCGCGGGCAGGTAAGGAGGCTGCGGCCCTGATGGGGTCCCAGAGGGTGGGGTGCTGGAGCCCACCCTCTGCCCAGGATAAACTTGGGAGGCTGGAGCTGGGGGCTGGGAGAGGGTGGGTGGTCCCAGGGAGGAAGAAGGGCTTCCTGGGACCTCTCGGTGGATGGTGGGGGCTTGGGGAGTGGACATTAATCTCGGAATCTCATGCCAGGATTCTAGAATCTTGAAGTCACGTAACAGCAGAATGTCGGAGCGGGACGAAACCAGATGCTCATGGCGTGGCATCTGGCCTCCTTGGTTCAAGTGCCAGCTTTCCTGAGCCCCTCTCTGTGCTGGGCTGTGCTCAGCATGCTCCCCTTCAATCTTTACAGCAACCCTAGGAGGTGGGTATGCTTGTCTTCATTTTCATAAGAGGAAACTGAGGTCTAGAGATGGGAAGTGAGTTGCCCGAGGTCACACAGCAGTTTGGCATCATCGCTCTGCGGCAGAGCCCAAGCCCCCAGCCTAGGGTTTGTGGGCTTGTGGGCTGTGTTCCTGGGGGTCAGACCCGGGTCTGAGGTCGGAGTGAGGCAGCTGGCACTGATCAGCACAATCTGGGCCTCGGCCCTGGGGGTCGGCCCAGGGGAGCAACAGGGAGCAGAATGCAGAGTCAGCCAGGGAGATCAGAGGTTGTTCCAGTCCTCATTTTCTCTTAGTCTGAGGCCCTCAGGGAAACCCACAGGGCCGGGAGGTACTGATAGTTTAAGAATGGACAGGACTGGGTTTGAATTCTGACCTCCTACTCATCAGCTGAGTGACCTTGTATAATTTACTGAGCCTCTCTGAGCCTCAAATTCCTCCTCTCTAAAAACCCTCCCTCTTGGGCTTGGTGAGGATCTCACGGATGTGAGTTCGAGGCCTCTGCCCGGGAGCGCCCTCCCACCTGGCTGGGGCTGCTTCTTGCTGAACTGCTCGGTCTGCTCCCATTTGCAGATGTCCTGGGTGCCGTGTTAGGCGCTGGGGTTACAGAAATAAATAACTCAGGGTCCTGCACCCAAGAACCGACACTCTAGAGGGGAAGGGGTGGGAGACAGAAACGGAGAATGACTGGGGTGTCTGGCATCCCTGAGGGGCAGTCTTGAATTGCTGTGGGGCTCAAGACAGCCACTCACCCTCTCTGGACCTCTGTTCCCTCTGGAACAGTCCTCTGAAGAGTCCGCCCCCGGCTTCCAGGCAAGCTTGTGCCAAAGATAAACCAGACAGGGAGAAAAAGGCCCTCCTCCCCAAAGGATGAACTAAATCATGCACAGTGTTCCGGCTCCTTAAAGAAAAGATGGCATCTAAATTGCAGGTCTGACTTACGCCCATGGAAAGCTGTAATTTCCTTGCTTCTGGCACTCCGACCTGTTAAACTTTGATGGGGAAGATAAGCCCAGATAAGGGTGCAGGGAGGGAGTCTTCCAGGGGGGCCAGGGGCTCTGGAGGGGCTATTTCATTCTTCTGAACAAAGGCAGGGCCTGGCTGGTACACTGCGTTCCCATGGCCATGAGTGTTAGCACGTGTTCGTGTGTGTGGGTACACACGTGTGTGCCTGGGCTGGAGGGGCTGTGCTCAGAGCTTACCCTCAGGCTTTGCCGGGGGGCATCTGTCCCTGCAGCCTGGAAATTAGGTTTGCCTGGCTCGCTGCTCCTCTCCCAGGAGCCTGGTGCTCCCCTCCCTCCTCCAGCCCTGGGTTGTGATTGGCCGCCTGGCGAGGATGCTATAAAGGGGATCTGCACACAGGGAGGTGAGTCAGATGGATGGGTGACGTAGGGCTCCCTGGCTGAGGAGGTCTGGATTGTAAGGTCCCAGGTTCACAATTCCAGGTCTAAAGAAGGCTGATTCCAGCATTCTGGAATTCTGACCTTTTCCAGTTCAAAGACACAGAGTCTAAAAAATCTATGACTCTACAACTCAGTTCTAAGATTCTAAAATTCTATTTTTAGGTCTCTAAGTGTCTAGGGATTTGGGTCCATGATCTTAATAGTTCAAGAGTCTGAGAAACAGTGAGGAGAGCTCTGAATAGGCTGGTGGGAGGGGTGGATGCCAGCTGGAGGCCCCGACCAGTTATGACACTTAGATGAGTGCCTTCTTCAGGACTGGCCTCAATCCACCCACCTGTGAAGTGGAGGGGTGGGGGATGGTCTTAAGAATCCTCGCAGCTTTGCCCCTTCCTAGCTGTGTGACCAGAGCGCATGGCCTCAACTCTGTTCTCTGTCTGTATTATGGGGACAACACTAGTGCCTCATAAAACCCTGTAGGACGGTGCACATCACTCCTTAGCCTGGAACCTGACCGTCAGGGCTCAGTGACAAGGGGCTGGCAGCACTGTTGGGATCCTGTGAATGCACTGTCGACTGCTCCTCCCTTAGTGCCTGGGGTGAGGGTGGGATGAGGGCTCTCATCAGGCATGGAAGAGCCCGGAGGGGATGCTCTGAGCCTGGCCAGCCTGCGGAACCATCAGGAGGAGCCAGGGCCAAGGGGTTCTTTGCCACTCTTGGCATTGCCTCACCTGGCTCTTGAAGCCCCTGGAAGCCCTAGGTCATTGCGCAGGATCAACCAGGCACGCTCACCTACTAGAAGTGTTTCCTCTGAGTTGGGGCACCTCTCCTTTCCAGGAGGTTCACATCTGAAAAGTGATGTCCAAACAGGGCAATGCGGACCACAGGTCCCACTGGAGGCACTTCAGATCCAGTGTTGGGGGGCAGGAGGATGTCGGAGGAAGGAGCCTCTGAGAGACTTCTTTTTCCTTTGGCGTCTCTGTAGGAAGAGTCAGGGCAGCCAGCCCGCAGGAGACTGGTGACGAGGGGGTCATTGGAAAGAGGGGAGGCGGTCTAGGCCCCAGAGGAGGCTCCATCTTTTAGCCTCGGCCTCTAACTGGGTTTCCTGAGGTTCTGCTGAGGGAGGCTAGCAAATCCTGAGGTAGGGAACCTCTCATAGCAGGGCATGAACTTCCACAGTCAGCAATCAATCCTCCCTTTGCAACCAGATTTGTCCACCCAGGTTCCTCTGATTCCCTCAATGCCTCAAACACAGATGCAGAGCTTGTGCTTGTGTGAAAGGGACGAGGGAAAGGGCCAGAACTGAATCCTGGCATCTCCACACTTGAGGAGAGTCAAGTCCAGCAGGGGAGCCAGGAGGAGTCCCAGCTCCTCATCACACACGGGAAGTGTGGTAAGAAGATGCTCCCAAGGGAATGAGGGCTCGGGTTCCCATCGAGCTGCTGGGCAAGCTCTTACTTTCAAGATCCACTTGAAGGGTCCTCTCCTGGGAGGAGCTGCCCCACCAGCGCGGGGGGAGGTGGTTGTTCTTGTACTTACCTCCTGCGTGTTGTGAATTTCACCAGTCATCCTCTGGGGCAGAAGGGGTCCCAGCCGCCCACCCCCCAGGTTCACAGCCAGTCATCCTGGGCAGGGCCTTTGTGGGGACGCTGTGGGACGGCCGGGCCTGAGAGAGGGCCCTCAAGGGCTTTGATTCCCAGGGGAGGGCACACCTCCGAGCCAGTGGTTCTAAACTTCATGCAGAATCTGAGGAATGTGATGAACACACATGAAAAAAACAAGGACACATTAACTTTCACGTGAGTTTGGGGGGTTTGTGGATCCTCTGATGCTCATATAGGGACCGGGTTCAAGGTTAAGGACCTGTGATATGCAGCAGAGTTTTCAAATGTGAGAGCTGAGACCTGTTGGGGGGTGACCTGTTGGAGCGTGTCAGTCTGTTCCAGTTGCTGTAACAGAATACCACAGATTGGATGGCTTATAAACAACAGAAATTTATTCCTCACCGTTGTGGAGGCTGGAAAGTCCAAGGTCGAAGTGCCAGCAGATTCAGTGTCTGGTGGAAGCCTGCTTTCTGGTTCATGAATGCCTGTTTCCTTGCTGTTTCCTTGCTTGGTGAAAGGGACAAGGGAGCTCCCTGGGGTCCCCCTTAGAAAGGCACAAATCCCATTCATGAAGTCTCCACACTCATGACCTAATCACCCCCAAAGGTCCCACCTCCTAATACCATCACACTGGGGGTTAGGATTTTAACGTATCAGTTTGGAGTAGGGGAGGACACATTCGGTCTATAACAGTGGGTGATCCACTTGGGGATATGCCAGCTGGGCAATCATATGTAGAAAAGGCAAGGATCGTTTTATGAAGTAATGTGACCTCACCGGCTTGCAAAGTAAAATGCAATGGTGTCCAAAACGTTTAAAAAGTGCTGCTGTAGAAGAAAGGGCTCATGTTGTCATCAGCTGACTGAATGCTCCACTCAGCCGTTTACTGGACATTCGTGGAGCCCTCTTCCTGTGCACAGGCGAAGGGACACAGTGCAGCACAGGCCAGGGCTGGTTCCTGCCCTTTGGAGCCAGGCAAGCCCAAGTCTCACGCCATAGCCCTGCTATGTGGTACAGGGCGGCCACTTCACCTCTCTGAGACTCAGCTTCCTCATCTGAGAAGTGGGGATAACTTGCAGGCCTCCCTTACTGTACTGTGCAGAGTGGATGCGCTGTGACACGTCAAACTCTGGCCAGGTGCCCAATAAGTCTCCAAGTTCAGTGTGATGGGGGAGGGGCTATGGAGAGAACGCCATTCCTTGCCATGACCAAGCTGTGTCCTCCCTCCTCCAGGCCAGAAGCTGACTGCTGACCACCCTCCCTTGGCCATGGACACCCCTGGCTCTCCTTCTCTGGTGCCCACGACCTCGGACCCTGGGAACACCTCCTCGGCCTGGTCCCTGGATGTCGTCCTTGGAAACGCATCTGCAGTGCCGAGCGCAGCAGGGTTGGCTGTCAGTGGCATTCTGATCCCATTGGTCTACTTGGTGGTGTGCGTGGTGGGCCTGCTGGGCAACTCACTGGTCATCTACGTGGTCCTGCGCCAGACGGCCAGCCCGTCCGTCACCAGCATCTACATCCTCAACCTGGCGCTGGCTGACGAGCTCTTCATGCTGGGACTGCCTTTCCTGGCTGCCCAGAATGCCCTGTCCTACTGGCCCTTTGGCTCCCTCATGTGCCGCCTGGTCATGGCAGTGGACGGCATCAACCAGTTCACCAGCATCTTCTGCCTCACCGTCATGAGCGTGGACCGCTACCTGGCGGTGGTGCATCCTACCCGCTCAGCCCGCTGGCGCACGGCGCCTGTTGCCCGCACAGTCAGTGCAGCCGTCTGGGTGGCTTCGGCCGTGGTGGTCCTACCCGTGGTGGTCTTCTCCGGTGTGCCCCGTGGCATGAGCACCTGCCACATGCAGTGGCCTGAGCCGGCGGCAGCCTGGCGGGCTGGCTTCATCATCTACACGGCCGCACTGGGCTTCTTTGGGCCACTGCTGGTCATCTGCCTCTGCTACCTGCTCATTGTGGTCAAGGTGCGCTCAGCCGGGCGGCGGGTGCGCGCACCTTCGTGCCAGCGGTGGCGGCACTCGGAACGCAGGGTCACACGCATGGTGGTGGCCGTGGTGGCTCTCTTCGTCCTCTGCTGGATGCCCTTCTACGTGCTCAACATTATCAATGTGGTGTGCCCACTGCCCGAGGAGCCCGCCTTCTTTGGCCTCTACTTCCTGGTGGTGGCACTGCCCTATGCCAACAGCTGCGCCAACCCCATCCTTTACGGCTTCCTCTCCTACCGCTTCAAGCAGGGCTTCCGCAGGGTCCTGCTGCGGCCTTCCCGCCGTGTGCGCAACCAGGAACCTCCTGTGGGGCCTCCAGAGAAGACTGAGGAGGAGGACCATGAGTTAGAGGATGGGAGTGGTGATAGGAAGGAGGCGGCAGGGAAGCAGGGGGAGAAGGAGATGAATGGCCGGGTCAGCCAGATCACACAGCCTGGTTCCAGGGGGCAGGAGCAGCCGCCCAGCGGCACCGCCAGCAAGGAGCATCAATTCCTCCCCCAGGAGCCCTCAGCTGGGGAAAAGTCGGGCACGCTGCACATCAGCTATCTGTAGGGGACTGCGGAGGGCCAGGGTAGCCCGAGGACAGGGCAAATGTGGGTGCGCTAGGGCATGCTGCCCAAGGTGCCAGGGGCCCATGATGGGATGTTTGGAGGCCTGGGCTCTGATCCCATTGCTGCTGAGACTTGCTGTGTGACCTCAGATAGGTCACTTTCCCTCTCTGGGCCGCGTGTTCTCTGTGACTCAGGGATGGGAGATATCCTCCTAGATGAGCTCCATCAGATGAGAAGTCTGGAGGGGCACCCCTGCTGGGCTGATCTTTCTGAGTGGGGCCAGGTTAAAGGGGTAAGTGCAGACTGGCCTTCCCCTTCGGAGACAGAGCATCCTGGTGAAGCAGCCTGAATCTTGGCCCTCAGAGGGCTAAACCAAGACCTGGATTTCCTGGGCTCAGAGTCAAGTTCACAAAGGAGGGATTGGGGCCCCAGGTTCATGGGGAGATTCACTGAGGCCCAGAATAGGAGAAAGTATTTCCTGGCAGGAAGGAGGGGCTGCTCAGGCCCCACATCCGCCCTCCTCCTCTTGCTGCAAGGCCGTGGGCCGGCTCTTCTCCTCTCTGGGCCTCGGGCCTCTCCCGCTGACCAACCCAGCAACCCCCAGGCCCTCTTGGTCCAGATGGTCAGTGCCAGGACTCCTGCGTTCCTGGACAGCAGGAGAAGAGGCAGATCTTCCAGGAAGCTAATTAAGCCCAGCTTCAAGGTTCCTGACTGTGCGGGCCCCTCTGAGGCCTGAGTTGAATTTTGTATTTGTAAATTTGTATCCCCTTTCTCAAAGAGGGACCTCAACTTGCTCAAACTTAGGCCACCCAAAGCCTAGCTCAAACCCTGCTGGGGGCAGCCGACCAATTCTCAAAGCAGCTCGCTCTGTGTCCTGTGGCTTGAGAGGGTCTCTGGGTCTTTGAGGGCTGCAGGATCCTCCTCATAGAAATCCTCCCTGTCCCTATCTCTCAGTGACGAAGGCAGGGACCTGGCCCACGCAGGCTGGTGTGGAAAGGCAGAGTGTCTAAACAGGGCTGAGAGGAAAAGGCAGATAATGGGGAAGGGACAGAAGGGAGAAGAAGGAGGACAAGGAGGAGGTGGAGACCAGATCTGTCCCATGACCTTGGAGCTGACCTTGGCCCCTCTGGGCAGAGCTCAGTTGCAGCATCCATGAAACTGGATCGCTGGTGCCTGGCCTGATCTGATCAGCCTCAAAGAAAAGATGCCATCAGGGTGGAACAGCAAATGCTCTGAAAGGTATGGGGCCGGGCCCCTTGGGGGCCCGCAGCGCTGGTAAGAAGGGCTGGGTGTTGATGGAAGCCTGGGGGCAGAGCTGGGAAGCAGGGCCTGGCTCCCTGGAGAGGTTAGGAGGAGTGGTGTGGCCCCAGCAGGCTGGGGAGCAGGACTTCCATCTTCTGTATTCCCCAGGGCGACAGGTCGGGAAGGCCCAAGGAAGACAAGACTAGAGGAGTCTGGAGGGAGACCACAGGGAGAGGCCACTGTGCAAGGCTGGGCCTGGACTCCCTCCCAGTGGCGACCCCTTAGAGCCCCAGCAAGACTGGTCTTGGGGACGGTGGTACCTCTGGCTAAATCCCTCAACCCGCGGCCCCACAGAGGGTAGGGTGTCCTCAGGTCCTCAGGGAAAGCGTATGAACCACACGTTGGGGGACCTAGATTTTTAGCTCATCTCCGGATCCTGTCTAGCCTTGACCTCTCTGGGCTTCAGTTTCTCCATCCTAAAATGGAAGTGGTTGTCCCAGCTTGCCTGCCTCCTGGGATTTGGGAAGAAAATGAGTCATCTGGGGGCACTGCCAGGCTCACTACGATGGGTGGGGGTGGGGCATAGCAGATTACAAAGTGGAAGCAGCCCCCTGCCAGGCATGGCCTTCACCTCCTTCTCCTTCATCAAGTGGCCTCTCTGTCTCCAGCTCTTGGGGGTGACGACACAGCGGGACATGAGAGAGGGGGAGTTGGGGGTCAGAGACCAAGGATCAGGGAGGCAGGGCATGGGGTAGGGTGAGGGCCCCTCAGGGGGAAGGAAGTTTAGAAAATTGAGCTTGTGTGGCGGTTGGAGGCTGGAGGCCCAGTCCTCAGTCTGGGGTTCCCCTCAGGAGGATCTGGGGGTCTGAGGGAAGAGGGCCCCTGGCATTCCAGCATGCCCTGCTTTCCTGATTCCTAGGGCAAGTGAGCCTGTTCCACAAGGGTGGCTGGGAGGCCCCTTAGGGAAATCCTTTGCTGTTTCTGACCCCAGCTTTTGTCAATAAAGATGGTAACACATGACAACTGGCCTGGGCCAATTTCTCTGCCGGGCACTGTGTGTTAGATCAGTGTGCGTGAGTGGGGGTGTGTACAGGCACCCGTCTCCATCAGGATGCTCCTAACTGTCTCTCATCGCTGCATGACCAGACCTCCTTGTATATAGCCTTCCATAGTCCTGGCCTCCAGGGGTCGTGGAAGATGCTCCTGACAAGGCCCAGACTACATCCTTACAGATCTGGATCCCAGAGCGTAGATATTCTTCCTGTGTCCAAATATTAGATCTCATGGAAGAGAGCTGATTGGCTCCAACCGGGTCACATGATGGCCCCTTGGGCCAATCGCCAAAGACAAGGTGATAGAATGTCATGATTAGCCAGGTGTGGGTCATGTGCCCATCTTTCCAGTCAGAGAGAAGGGGGGACACTGTGATGGACAGTTTGGCCTGACCAGTGGGGTAGGGGTTGGGTCAGGGACAGACTCCCAATGGCAAGGAGAGATGAGCCAGGAAGCAATGAGAGTAGGATTGGGGAGAGGGGGTCTCAGCACAGTGCAGGGCACATAGTAGGTGTGCAGGGCATCTCAGACATATCCGTGAGTGAACGTGTATTGGTGTGTAACACCTAGGGCCTGCTGTGTGTGTGACAGGGATGCGCGGAGTGGGAGCAGAGAGACTGCTGGCAGCCGAGGTGGCATGGGAGCCATGCCTGGGCCAAAGTCCCCTCTCTGGATCCCACGGCCCCCCAGCTTCCCCATCTCACCGTGTGTCACTGCCTGTGTACGCTCATGTGCCTGTGTGTGTGGGTGTCCCACGAGACTTGTCCTTCCAGGCAAGGACTGTGCCCAATGCATCTGGGTTCCCAGGGCCTGGCAGTGCTGGGGGCTCTTCATATGAGTATTTGGAATAAATGAACGAATGGGGGAAATTCCATTTCACAATTCCAGGGGGGAGATTTTCACACTGTGACTCTAACTTTTGGATTTGTGCAATGTAGTGACCCTGAATACTTGGGGGAGGATCAGGGAGTGGAAGGAGTCAGATGGGGGTTTGGGGTTGGAATATGTGGATTATGGGAGCCGAAGGGGCTGTGAGGTGAGGGGAGGCTCTGGGGCTGTGAGCCTGAGCAGGCAGGAAGGGGTGGTGATGACCCTCCTTGACTGACTCCTTCTCTCCAGACATCTGAGTTGCTCAGACCCAACACCTTCCCTTGAACTTGTCTCTCAGAGGCTGTTGCCAGGCAACAGCCCATGGCCACCAGGCTCTGGACCAGGACTTCATGCATCAGCATCAGCATTAGCGGAAAGGAGCTGGGAGTCTGTATGGTCTGGGTTAGGAGAAGCCAAGGTCCCAGGGCTTCAGACTTGCCTCACCTCCAAAGAGTGGGGGAGACAGGCCATCATCCCATGGGGAGGTGACGGCCTGGGCTCCACAGGACTCCAGACACAGAAGAAAGCATCTAAAGGCAGCGAGGACCCCAGGCTGTAATACGAGGGGCTCTCCCTGGACTCTTGCAAGGCACGGTCTCACCAAGATCTCAGGATGCCCCCCATGCCACCGTCACTGGCAGGCCCTGGTGAGACTCTGGGCAAGTCAACTGGAAGGCCATGGGGCAAACGCATCCCCTAAAAGTCATGAGAGTTAAACTCAGGAGGCCTGGGACCTACGCCCTCTCTATCATGAAACTACCGCACGGCCTTGACCATTCACTTGACCTCTCCGGGCAAATTTCATTAAAACAACAAGGATATGACTGAGCATCCACTGTGCGCAAGGTCCTGACACTGGGCTGGGAGCACAGTGGATGGAAACAGACACAGTTCCTGTGCTTCTGATGCTCGCACGCAGCCCCACAAGTAAAATGCATCACTATCTGGTGGGGACAGAGGTGCAGTGCGCTCTGAGGGGAGCACAGCGTTGGGGAGGGGCCATGGTGGGAGTGGTACCGAAAGCAGAGTGAGACTGGGAGTGCCTGGCAAAGGGGCTGTATGTGCTAAGGCCCTGTGGCTGGAGGAAGGCAGGGAAGGAAAGGGAGAAAGGCAGAGGGGAGGCCCAGTTTGAGGACAGAAGCTGTGTCAGACAGGACCTCCTAGGAGGTTAATTCCTGCTGTGCATTGGATTATGTGCCCCTCAAATTCATAGGTTGAAGTCCTAACATAGGTTGAAGTACCTCCGGATGTGATCTTATCTGAAAATAGAGTCCTTGCAGTTGGAAGTAGTTAAGACGAGGTCACCCTGGAGTACGTAGGGTGGGCCCCTTTTCTGGTGTGACTGGTGTTCTTAAGAAAAGATTTGGACACAGACATGGACACAGAGAAAATGCTGGGGTGATGCTTCCAGCCAAGGAATGCTAAGGATGGCCAGCAAGCCATCCCAAACTGGGAGAGAGGCCTGAAACTGACCCTTCCTCACAGCCCTCAGAAAGAAGCAACCTTGCCTGACACCTTGATCTTGGACTTCCAGCCTCCAGCACTATAAGCAAATTAATTTCTCTTGTTTAAACAGTCTAGTTTGTTGCACTTTGTTCGGGCAGCCCTAGCAAACGCATACAATTCCCACCTGCAAAATGAAGCCAACAGCCCCTCCTCTCTTAGGTCTCCAGAGGACCTTGGACAAATTCATTCATTCTTTCATTCAACAAGTGTTTCCTGAACAGCTGCCAAATGCAAAAAGAGGAAGGCAGAGAAGTACCAGGCCTGTCTTCAAGGGTGAAGGAAGTCACATTGAAGATAAGCGATAAAGAGGTGGTTCTTTAGCCCCTGGAATCTGGGACTTTCTGGGTTTGAATCCTGGCTCATCCATTCTCTAGCTGTTTGATCTTGAGCCAGTTCATTAACCTTTCTGTTCCTCAGTTTCCTCCTCTTGAGATGAAGATGAGAGCAGATGTCTATTGTTAAGAGGTTTAAATGAGTTGATACTTCTAAAGAGCTTAGAACAGTGCCCTGTGCATTGTAGGTGCTGTATGTTAAATAAACATTTAACAGAAGCAAGAATCCATCCATGGGTAGGGGTGGAGGTCTCCCTGGGAGAGGTGACAGCCCAGCTGAGTGTCAAGAGGAAACTGGAGTCTGTGCACCAGAAAGGAGGCATGAGAGATGTTCAAGCTACTAAGAACAGCTCTGATACCCATTTTACAGCTGAAGACAGTGAGGCCTGGGTTGGTCATGTGATTTTCCCAGAGTCACAGCACCAGAGGCAAGGCCAAAATCCCCATTTTCCTAGCCCCCAGTCCAACGTCTATAGTTTTTAAAAAGTACAAAGATGAGGGCCAGGGTGGAAGGAGTTATTCTGGAGGTGAGAAGAGCTTAGAGGCTACTGGTGCCAGCTCCTTGGTGGCCACTGAAGGTGACAGATGATGCCCTTGGGCAAAATTCCACAGGCATGAGAGGCAGCCCAGACCCCATCGGGACCTCAGTTGTTTCCTAGAGCCCCCGCCACCCTCCAGCGAGCCCTGCAGCTTCGGCACAGGCTTTCCTGGCAGGCTAAGGTGGTGTGCACGCTGAGGTGAATGACAGTGACACACTCGTGCCTACATGCGTTCATGGAGGGCAGGCCAGCCTCCACTGTTTCACAGGCTCAAAGAAAGGGCCCGGGGTCACACTTGGCCTCCTCCAGGGTCCCAGACACCTCAGGTCCTGGCTCGCATACCCTAGGAACACAGCCTATAGACAGCCAGGAGCTCCTGCCCTCTATGGCCATATTGCTAACAGATAGGAAAATGACCCTGCAGTAGCACATGGCCTCTCCATTCTGCCTTCTGCTTTAATGACCAGGAAATATGTCAATATTTGCACATGGGAATTGCAGGCCCTGCCGCCCTTGGTCAACGTGTCCAGAGTCTGCTTGGTTTCGTTGTCTGGAGGAGGGGTTATCTCTGTGCTCCGGAGCGGGCGGCTCTTCAGACAGGGCGGGTCCCTCCTCCTCTCTGGACATAATAAATGGCAGCAATTATGGGGAGAACAAAACAAAAACACAATGTCCATTGACGTGCGTGGCAGTAGCAGGTGAGCTCTCTGCCACACAATCGGTTTCGAACTCCACAGCCACCACTTCTTAGCTCTGGGCCAGTCTTGAAACCTCTTGAATCCTCAGTTTTCTCATCCATAAAATGGGCTCCGCAGCCCTATCTCACCTGGACTGTCGCAGGTCGGGGAGGCGGCGGGTTGGTTCTGGCCGAGGCCAGCGCGGTGCTCTGTGTCCGGCAGGGGGCGCCGCGGAACCTCCCCCTTTCCGCTTGGCGCCCTCCCGCAGCTCCGCTCCGGCCAGACTCAGCTCTATTCGGCCCCACTCGGATCAAACTCGGTCAGACCCGGCTATGGTCGGCCCTACACTCTGGGCTCTGCCGGACTCGGCTCTGCTCGGCTACCCTCGGCATGACTCGGCTCTCCTCGGCCAAGTTCGGTCTTGTTCGCTTCTGCTCGGCTCTGCGGAGAGCCGGACTCGCAGAGGCCCCGCCCCGGCGCCGCAGCGGTTCCTCCCGCCCCTCTAGCGTTCGGCTTCCGGGATAGAGGCGCGGAGGACCGAGCAGAGCACCCCCCTCCGCCCCGACGCCGGCAGGTTTCCCCGCGGCGGAGGTTTGGTCTAGTTAGGCCCTGGGTCGTGCCAAGAGTGGCCGCGGCTGGCGGCAGACTTTTTCCAGGGCTTGAGGCCGAAACGGGTGGGGATGGAGGGGCTCCCCGGCCTTGGGGGTGGGGGAGTCGCTCCCCTTACTCTGCCTAGAGAAGCGGAGAGGATGGCTCTGGCATCCCGCGTGCCTTGGACCCTGTCGTCTGGCACTGCCACTAGTCGACCATGGCGAGGGAGCCAGTTGCTGCACCTGTTTTCCCTGAGCCTCAGTTTCCCACTCTGTAACATCAGGATCATCGTCAGAGTCCAGGGGAACTGTGATGGCCCTGGTTCTTTCCTTCTCTGGGCCTCTTGGGGATTCAACTTTCTCTTCTGTAAAGTGGGATTAAACTCGCCCAACTCGCATTAGCACTTTAGAACAGACATGGGTTGCAGAAAGACCAGGAAGGAGAAACTGAGCCCAGAGAGCGAAGGTCACCCAGGGTCACCGAGCTACTGGAAGGGAGGGTCTCCGCAGAATTAGGAAGCCAAATGAGCTAGCTGCTTGGGAAAGGGAGAGTCCTGTTGGACCCTCTGCCCTCTTTGCCGGGAGTGGGGTTTGGAGGAAGCAGTGAGAGAATGGGCGCTCCAGCCAGCCCGTGGCGCGTCTCAGTGGGCCCTTCAGCCTCCTCCTCCTCCATTCCCTACCTGCTTAGTTCCCTAAGAAGGGTGGGGGCGGGTGGGGAGCATCACAAGCTGCGGGTGGGATGGGGCGGGTGCCAGGCGCGATGGCTCTCCCCAGTAGGTGGCGCTCACAGTTTCCTTTGTTTACTGTCTTAGTTGGTGACTGTCCTTGAACAATTAGATCTGTGACTTGCTGTTCACAGCTTGCATCTCTGACTCCGAATCATGTTTTCTGTTCTATATCACTTTTTGACAGGCACGCATTTTACTTTTTAAACACACGAAGGGTTCTTGGCGCTTTGTAAGCACTGACTAAATGCCATTATCTTCCTACCTTCTTCCCAGCCCTGGGTGGGAATGTGGATGTGGCTACGAGCTTGGTTCTGGGAGTCAGTGAATCTATGCATCTTCATCATCTGTGTGCAGGAGGAGAATGGCTCGTATTCATCCCCGTGTTCAGGGTTTAGCCAGGGAGAAGCACTGATTAGTGGCCAGTGTGGAGTACCCACACTGGATATCGCACCGGGCCGCTCAGATGGTCTTGTCCTCCGCATGTCCCTCCGGCCCAGGGACACCAAGGCTCAGAGGTAGGGAGACATGCCCACGGTCACACAGCTAGAAGGAGGTGGAACTGAGACGTAACCCAGTTTTGTCTGCCCCAAGCCTAGGGCTCTGTCTCCAAGCTACCTGGCGGGCCTGCTGGGGAGATCCTCAGAATGGCTGGGAGACCAAGGGATGATGCACAAATGGTGCGCCAGTGGAGGAAATTTTGGTATGGTGCAGGAGAGTGGGAGGAAAAGTATTAAAGTACTGTATAGTATTCCTGAGTCCGGCTCTCTTGTCTGTCCTGTCCCGTCAGCTGCCTTGGACCAAGGCGGGAAGGGGGCCCTTTTCTGGGGCATTGATGTGGCTGGAAATCAAAGGAGCTGCTGGCTTTAGAACCTGGTGAGACTCGTGTACTTTCCAGGTCTCAGCCTCCTCATCTGCTAAGTGGTCTGAGCCGCCTTTTCTGCAGAGGGGCTGTTGAACGTGCCTGGAGCACGTTGCCTGCACACAGTAAGCCTTGGACCAAACCATTCCTGTGTCCCCACCCTGCTTCTCCTATTCCCCCACCCATATTCCCTTCCCTTCCCTTCCCTTTTCCTCCAATGCTAGGCTTACTAAGCCAGATGGCTCAAAGAGAACCAGGAGCTGTGTCCCCTCCGATGCTGCTGACTCAGCCCTTTTCCCTCTGGTGGCAGCAGCCAGGGGAGGGTGGGGAGAGTGGCTCCCCTTGCCTCCCTCCCTCTGCTGGCGCTGTGCCGTGGGAATGCTGCCTGGGGCCAGGCCACGGAGAGGGCACAGCCAGTGTGGACCTGAGAGTTTTCCCAGCATCTGTAGTGCTTTCAGCTGCTTTCCTCTGGGACCCCCAAAATAGGCCTGGGGGACTCTCAGTGGGCTTGGGAAGCAGAAGCAACACAAAGCAGGAAGTTGGGAGAGCCTGGCTCTCATCCCAGCTTGGACTCCAGGCTGCGGTGCGACCTGGGGCCAAAGACTTGCCCTCCTGGATCACAGCGTCCCTGTGGGACAGATTAAGGAATTGGATTAGATCATCTCGAAGGGTTTTTCCAGGTCTGGATATTCTGCTGTGTGATTATCCCCCAAACTAAAAGGAAAACAGAAGTGCAGAGAGGAGAGCTGGTCAAGGTCACACAGCCAGGGCTGTTACACCCTCCGCACTTGGCCCAGCTGTGAGTTAGGACTGGGGTTTAATGCCCAAAGACCCAGATTTCAATAAAATCCCCCTGAGGTCTCTGCACTCCTGTGCCTCCAGAGGGTGAGAATGTCACCACCTCTTGTTGCCCAGGGGATGGACCCTGAACTGCAGCCTTTGCCCCGAACCATGCCCAGTTGTGCCATCGTGGGAACTCTGCTGAGGTGGAGGGCACTTCCATTCTATAGGGTCGTGGTTCCTCTTCACTGTGTGACCCTGGGCAAGTCACATCAGCTCCACCCTAGCTCCTTTTCCCAAGGCGGGGGTAAGATTAGTAAAAATAAAGGATGTAGATACCCTTGGGGTACCAGAAGCCCCTGCAAAGATAAAGCCTGAGCTGGGTGGTAAGTGTGCAACAAATGCAGAAAGAGAGGGGGCTGGAGGGTGAGGGACATTTGAAAGAGCCTCTGCCCAGAGGTCTCTGACCCCAGGGAACCCGGGCTGCAGCCTTTGCAAAACTTCCTGCAGCCTAACCAGAAGGAGACTAAGGCAGCACCCTGCCCTGGGCCCAGGCCCGGGGACATCTGTATGGGCTGCTCTCCTGTGAACTTCTTGGGGGTCATTTCTGCAGGAGGATTGGCTCTAGGAAGATGGTTCATCCTGGCAAAATCCCAGGCAGAGGAGGAGGAGGACTTTGGTGTCCCTTGGGGGTGGAGCTGTTGCCCTGGCCGCCACCCTTACGTACCCGAGAAGATAATGCCCTCACTCAACACACATTTACTAAGCCTCCCCTTGTGCGTGGATGGGGCTGGAGGCTGGAGTTGTACAGACAACTAGGGTCTGAAGGAGAAGGGACAGGCCAGTGGGTGCCAGTGCCAGGATTTGAACCTCAGGCTACTGGGTCTGGTGTTCTGCAGCTTAGGCTGGAGCCCCCCCACCCCAGCACTGCCTCCTTCCTGAGCAACTTACGGGACTCCTGCTCTTCTCCCTTCTCGGCTCAATTTCCCAGCCCCCACTCAGCCTCAGACCTCTTCCTGACTTGATTGGGTCTCTATTAAACAGGACCCTCTTGGACCACCAAAGAGTTAAGCAAAGGAAATCCATAGTTCCCTTTATCTCCGAAGAACCCAGAGGCTGGAGGGGAGGGAGCAGGGAGGAGGGGAAGCGGGAAGCCAGCTCAGCCCGCTCCCTCCGCCCTCGCTACCTCCCTCCCTCCACTCTGTCTCCATCCCTTTCTCCGTCCCTCCTCAGCCAGCCAGCCAGCCGGGCCTGGGGGTCTGGGCCAGCAACAAGTTATTATTGCAGACATGGACCAAGGAACCAGAGGCCGCCCAGAGGCCCGGGGTCCATGAGCTGCTGTTGGAGGCTGCAGGACACTGGGTGAGTGATGTGAGGTCCTGCAACATTTTCCAGCAGGGCCGAGGGGTTTGGGGTCAGAGACTGGAATTCCTCTCCTTCGCCCTCTCTTCCTGGATACATCTTGGACCCCACTCTCTCCCTCTGACCTTGGTCAGCCCCTCTAGGCTCTCCCCTCCCAATTCCCTCCTGTGGCTGGGACCTTAGCCCTGGTGAAGGGCTGCCCTCTGCTGCTCCCGGCTTGTGCCCACCCCTGCCTGGACACAAACCAACTCAGCTCAGCAGCGCCTGGCTCTCCCCCCACCCCACAGAGGTCCCAGCTCCCTAGTGGAGGCAGGCAGGACCCCCAAAGCACCCCCGTTGTGGCATGGTCCTGCACACTTGATCTCTGTCCGACACCTCCCCCCCCATCCCCAGAGGCCAGTCACTGACCCGTGGCTGTAGTTATTACTACTTTTGTTAAAGGCTGCTTTGCTTCCTGCTTCCTGCACTCCCCTTCCCCCAACCCTCCGGCCCCAGGTCACAGTTCTGTGTCAGAGATCTTTTGACTCCCAGCTGGCTGGGCCAGCAGAAATGTCCCTAAACCATGCCAGTGCTCTGGGAGAAGTTCTCCTATCTCAGGCAGGCCCTGGGAAGAGGTCAAGTTGGGCAGCAGAGAAAGGAACAAACTTTTTATTGAGTCTTTTACAAGTCAGGCATTTCCCCTGCATTTAAATCCTCCCAAACAGCTTGGTTGGGAGATGGTGTTGTCTCCTTCCAGTAAGTGTCAAAGAGCAGGAAGCTCAGAGAGGTTAAGCCACTAGCCTTAAGTCACACAGCTTGTAAACTCTGCTGGGATCTCAGGTCTAACTCTAAAGCCTCACCTTTTCCCATGAGGTCACATCTACGGCCAGGAAAAAGAGGGCATTTTGCTCTTCCGAAAACCACTGGGATGTGTAATTTACAATTAAAAGTTAAGGGTGATCATTTCCTCTGACAGAGGGGAGTTGACCTCTGAGGATTTGAGCTGCTTTACTGAGCAGAACTAGGAAACCTGACCGGTGCAGGGTGTGTGTAGGGGGAAGGGGCATAGAGGAGCTTGGGAACGGTCACCTCCAGGAGAGGGGTGATGGCTCTGCAGGCTGCCCGCCCACCCCTCCCTTCTCCTGCTGCTACTGCAGCCTCAGGGAGTAGGGAGGAAGGAGGGTGTTGGGGGAGGGCTCCTGCCCCTTTAAAATCCAGCGCTTAACCCCAGCGCTCAGGTTAGGATAGAATGGCATTTAAAAAAAATAATTTTACCTTATCTACCTGTATTAACCACAGAAAAATATTTTTGAATTGTACTAAATGTTAAAGGAGAACAAAAAGGAAATAAACAGAAGAAACGCCAGAAGTGTAAAACCCAGTCTCGTTTCAAGAGCCGAGTTTCTGATCCTGCGATAACTCAGGTGCCAGCCCCCAAAGACTGTCACCACCTCAAAGGCTCTTTGCCTGGCTTCCTGCCCACCCAGCCCGGCCTGTCTCCAGTTGCTGCTGTCCAGTCTACTTCCTGCCCTTCTTCTGGAACTCTGGATCCCTTCTAGGCCAAGGCCAAAGACAGATCCTCAGAGACTCTCGGCCTTCCCTGTTTCTTTTGAATTTTCCCGACCTCCTGGATCTGGCCCCTTAGTTCCAATTTACCACCTTGGTAGCTGATTGGCAGGCCTAGGATGATTGACATAACCACCTTCCAATGACTTGACGCTCTCCTGCTCGGTCCCTGAAGGGCTTCCTGTGTAAGGCTAAGTTGTGTAGCTTGTTGACTGCCCAAAGATGCTGGGTGAGGAGGTGCGCTGGCCCCAGTTACACACCTTCAGTGTTGCATTCCTGCAGGGACTTCTTTTGTTTGTTTGTTTCTATCTTGTCCAGCCCAAGTTAGCGCCTCCTTCTACCTTGCACTCCAGGGACATTGGATAGAGTCAATGGCAAGAAAACAAGCCAGAGGGAGGTTGGGAGGGTGAGAAAAGCATTTTATAGTCTCATTGGCAGCTGGGCATCTTCCTCACCTGCCCCAGCAACGGCCTCTTGGGATGCTCGTCTGTGCCTGGCTGCTGCTCTCCTCGGTGGGTGGTGGTGGTCAGGAGGGGATCGTCCTTCACGGGCCCACATGTGGCAGAAACTCCCAGGGTCTGGATTCCAGGAGACAGCCTCCAGGTCCTGCACTGCAGTAAGTCTCTTTGTGACCTTGGAGAACTTGCTTCCCTGGGTAAGCCTCAGTCTTCCTGTCTATTCAGTGGGGCTCCAGTGCTCCCTCCCCAAGCTACGTCAGGAATGCACTTGTGCTGCTGGTTGCATCATCTACCCTGGGCATCGGCAGAGTGTAGTTGTTAAGTTCAGTGTATTTCTGTCCCTCCTTCCCTGCCAGGTCGCCACGGGGATGGCTGCCCTGGGCCTCCTCTGGGCGCTTTTCCTGCTCCCTCCCTCGGTGTCTGGGATCCCCACTGAGGAGCCCACTGCTGGGGAAGCTGTGGCCTTGACGTCCTCTGGAAACTGCCGGCGGTGCTGTGACTCTGAGGACCCCCTGGTCCTTGCTGACGCTGCAGATACATCCTCGGCGTCTCCGTCTGCCCTTCAGTACGTGTTGCCTGAGGTCAGGCCCTACATTAACATCACCATCCTGAAGGGTGAGGACCCATCCGGGGCTCAGGCTGGACTGGCCTGGTCAGGGACAGGGAGGGTATGGGGATCTCTTCCTGGTCCGGGGGAGGTGAGGTGGAGGGAGCAGGAGAAACCAGGACAGAAGACTGTCTCAGACCCTTTCTTTCATTCACACATTTAGTGAGTCCCCACTGTGGGCCAGGACTGTTCTGAATTCTGGGATGGAGCGTGGACAAACCAGACAGAGATGTTCTAGTCAGGGAGGCAGACAGTAAGTGATAAACATATTACCCAAGTTAATGAGATGGATTGTTGGATGGTGATAAATGCTATGGAAGTGAGGAGGTAGAGCAGGGTAAGGGGCATTGGGAGGGTGGGTGTGTGGGGGTCAGGTTGCCTATTAAATGGGGTGGTCAGTGTAGGCCTCACTGAGAAAGTGGGGGAGAAGCCACATGGATATCTGGGGAAGAGCATTCTAGGCAGAGTGAAGAGCAAGTGCAAAGGCCCTGGGGCAGGAGCGGATCTGGTCTGTTGAAGGAGCAGGGGGCAAGGGGAGGAGCTGAGGTTAGAGACAAAACAGGGGCCAGATCAGACTTGGGCTTCTCCTCTGAGTGAAATGGGGAGCAGGGAAGGATTTGAGCAGAGGAGGGAACTGACCCAACTTAGATTTCAAATGGATCCCTCTAACTTCTCATGGTAGGTGATGGGGGACAAGAGTGAAGCAGGGGGATGTGCGGGGGCACCTTGGGCTGTCCAGGTGAGAGCAGGCTCCCTGTCATCTAAAACCAGACCTGAAGGAAGCTACTTCTGCTGTCAGAGGCTGTGAATGGCTGGTCCTGAAGCCAGGCCTGTGACATCTTTAACCTCTATCTTTGCTCAGAACAACTCTGTAACGTTGGTACATCATTTCTCCCACTTTGCTGATGGGGAAACTGAGCCTCCGAGAGGTGGGGAGCTCTCCTGGGGTCACATGGCTGTCAGGGGCAGAGCTAGGATCTGTCCCTGAGGTCTTCATCCCACAACCAGGGGTCAGCTGGCATCTGAGACCCTCCAGCCTTCAGATTTTGTGGGTGAGGACACTTCCCTTCCTCTCCCCATCTTTCCCCACTGCCTCACATATCACAGCTTCCCCTAGGCCAGCTGAACCCCCGTGTGAGGTTGATACGATGCCTGGATGCTGACAGTGTTTCCCACTCACAGTCCTCCTTAAAACTCCCTGTCACCTTTCCTGGACCAGGCTAGCTGCCTGCCGGGCCAGCGGGCAGTCTGTAGGGGCAGAAGACACCTGGATGGCGTCAGGAGTCCCAGGTCCCAGCCCAGCTCTTCAGCTCCCTTGCTGTGTGAGGCCGGCTGGTCTCTCCCTCCCTGGGCCCACTGACTGACTCATTTGTAAAAAGGAGAAGGGAACCCCCTCCTACACCACCCTTTACCCCCTCCCTCAGGGCTGGGGCAAAGCAAATGCTCTGCAGACTGTAAAGTGCAATGCACGTGATGCGTTTGTTAGTTGGCCCATGAGGCCACTGAGGAAGACCTCCCCAGAGCCATGGACCCCCTCCTCCCTGCTTCCCTCCAGGCTTCTCCTCCGAGGGCCTGCGCCCTCCTGCCTGCCCTTTCCTCCCCTCTTCCCAGCACTATTGCCATGGTCATAGGGGACCTCAGGAAAACACAAGGCCGTCCACTTCGTTCAAAGGGACCTGGCTGAGGGTATGATTTCGGGCACAGTGACAGGCAGCAGGGAACTATTTGGGATCTGGTCCCTCAAGAAGTCGGTGGTCACCTGCTTGCCTTGCGTTCAAGGTCAGCCTGGAACAGGGGCTAGGCAGAGGCGTGCCTGCCTGGGGATGAGGGCAGATGCTGCCAGAGCCAAGGGCCCATGGAGTCAGGCCGGGCAGTGCTGAGTGAACCAGCCCACCTCCTATCTGCAGAGTAGGCTGAGAGCTTTCCCACAGGGCTCATGAACGCCCCCGTGAGGTGGACATTATCCTCTTCAAGATACAGACCAAAAAATTCCAAGACCCCAACCACGAATGCCCCTGGTCATAGAGAGGCAGTAACACCCACCAAGGGCTGCCTGGCTCCAAATCTGGACGCTTCTGTCCAGGTGATTCCTTCTCTGGGCTGGAGACGCCAGGTGAGTCCACACCCACATCCTCCCAGAGCCCTTTTGGGTGCAGTGACCCCCCAGAGCCGGGTCTGGTCTCGGAAGGGAGGAAGCAGGCCGGCGTGGAGACAGACTGCGGTTGGAGTCCTGTCTCCCCTGCTCCTGAGCTGTGTGACCCGGGCGAGTCCCTTCACCTCTCTGTAAGTGGAGGTGGACACAGAGTCTCCTTCAGAGGGGCGTCCAGGCAGCGTTGCCTGGCATGTAGTCGGTGCTCAGTGAGTGCTGGCTCCTCCTCTAGCCTGCCTTCTCTGGGCGGGGGCAGAGCCTTCTGCAAACACGCGCAGGAGCCTCCTCGGTGCAGGCCTGGGTGGCTGTCCTGACGTCTCTCCTTCTTTTACCCACAGGTGAGAAAGGGGACCGAGGCCTGCTGGGTACGCCTGGGAAGCTGGGCAGGGAGGGCCCCCGGGGGGAGCGCGGCCCCCAGGGCGGACCAAACGGGACGGCCCAACGGGGACGGACGGCGGGGCCGACGCCCCGGGCCCGGGCCCGACCTGCCACGAGGCGGCTTCTTCGGCCGTTCTTCAGTG